TGACCTTTGCAGTGGCCCTCTGGGGTTGGCGCCACTATCATCTCTGCTTCGCAGGTGAAGTAACCAAATCCTGGAGCAGTCACTCCCCCAAGAGTCCCCGGCTCAAGGCAGAGCAGGGGTCTGGGCGGTCTGATGCCAGAGTCCACTTCCCTGACTGTCACCTGTTTCTCGCTTCCAGATGGTTAGTGTTTTATTTCTGTCATAACAAATGACCACCGGCTTCATTGAATGGCTTAAAACAATGCCCGTCTGTGAGCACACAGTTCTGTGGGTCTGCAGTGCGGGCACAACAGGTGACCTCCGTTCTCTGCTCAGGGTGTCACCAGGCTACACTCAGGGGTCGGCCAGTGCCTTCCCCTCTGGAACTCGGGGCCTCTTCCAAGCTCCTGTGGTTGGTGCAGAATTTAGTTCTTTGTGACTGGCAGGATGAAGGGCCCCGTGTCCTTGATGTGCTCAGCTCTTAAGCGGTCCCCCGTGCTTCTTGCTCCATGACCCCCTCTGTCTCTAGAGCCAGAAGAGGAGGATTCCCCTCTCTTAAAGTCACCTGTGCCGTAATGATCCAATGATGCAAGTGTCCTGTCCCCGAATCTGGAGGCGAATCTTACGAGCATCTGAGGATTCAGCCTTCCTAGACTTAGTATGTTCTCTGTTGGTAACACCTTTACTACTTTAGTGTAGTGACCTGGAGGAGGTCTGGGGGCACTGTTAAAAGAGTATCTTCATGTTTCAACACCCAGCACGGCCCTGTGCATTCATACAGAACAGTACATAGCTATCTCAGCGGGTGATGTGAGTACATCCTTTTGCTTCACTCTCCCTCCAGACTCATCCCAGACCCCCAGTCTCGGGGCACGCAGGCTCAGACCCAGCATGTACAGGGGAGAAAGGAGGAGATTGTTCAGGATGTCTGCTATTTGCACCTTAATAGTAGGAAAACGGAGTCCGAGACTCAGTGCTCTCTTCAGGGAACCCTGCCAGCACCCATGTGCAGTTCCCGTCCAGCGGCTGTGACCATGACTCTTGACTTTCCCGAGCTTCCCCTTGGCAGAGGGGAGGTGGGCTGGGAATGCTCAGCACAGAGTCTGCTTAAATGGATTCGACATTCGTTGGTGTGTCATTGAAAACACAATGATCCTTCCCTTTGATTTTGCCTTTTTTGGTTCCTTCTCCACTTGGGGTTTTGTATCAAAGAGACTGCACCACTTTGTCGGACTGTAAGCTCCGTCTTTCCCGGGTGCTTTCATCATGTCTCAGTTCAGCTTCCCACTCAGGGACACGGGAAGGATTAAAGACGAAGAGCGCCCAGGGGGTGGGGGAGGGTCAGCAGGGTTTGCTGGGGCTGGTGCCTTTCCCTGGCTCTGCGGAGAGCAGCTGTGGTCCCAGCCTCCCCCGCCTCTCCCAACACAGGCAGTTTGCAAGGACCCCAGGGTTCCCAGGGGTGGTGCCGGGACGCAAACCGCACAGAGCTGGATGCGCACCGACCTTCCCTGCTTCGTCTCCAGCTCTTAGCACAGGAGATGGGCTCCTGTGGATCCTCAGCTAATGCTTGCTGAATAGATGCATACATTAATAGAATGCATCTGGAAAATCTTACAGAAGAATCTCCCTCGTTCCTGTGTATCCTTTTCTCTCCGTGGGCCCACAGCACTGGAGGCTAAGATTTCTCAAAGGAGCATTTCACTTGCTCTCAGAAGAGATCTGGGTAGTAGCGGCTTCGGGCCTTTCGGCTCCAACACTGCCCTGCAAACCACACTGTGGGGCAGCGGAGTGTTCTCTACACTTGACCTAGATGCTCAGGCCTCTTTCTTCGTCTTTAAAATGGGGTTAATGGAATATTGCATTAAACTTCAAGGAGTGTTGATGAATGTGTATGTTTGTAGTCAGACACTCTTTCCCTGGGCCCCCGCAGGCCCCCCAGGGCTGGGCGGGCAGAAGACAGGACTCCTACTTCATAGTGGTAAACTGAGGCAAGGACAGGACCGTGTCTTTGGATCACAGAGCACGTTCCTTGGAAGCTGAGTGGGAATCCAGGTCTGGGCTGAGTGGGGAATTGCTTCTGCAGGCCACTCCAGCCCACGCGGAGAATGCGTCCCAGCACCAGATTGGAAGGAAACCTCTTTTTCCTGTCGGCTGGACGCCAGAGCTTCCTGACCGGGGCTGACGTGTCCTAGAAAACCTTGTCCTGTTTGTGGGCCCGCACGAGGCCTTCTCCTACAAGGATACACAGAAGTGTGTTTAAAAATAAAGAAGGAAACAGTGCAGAAAATCAGCAGAAAGCTGTTTGCCGAAAGAGCCGAGGGCAGGAGAGCGAGTTCTCCCAGGTTCCCCAGCCAGGGACCGGCTCCTGGCGCCACGCTGCTCTGAGTGACGTAGGGCTGGGCAACCCCCAGCGGCCCTCCCCACAGTTCCCACCTGCGTCCTGACAGCCGAGGTCCCCGGGGCCACACAGGGCCTCGGGTTTGCAGCAGTCTCACTGTTTCTGGGTGTCTCCTGTTGTGTTTTCAGTGAAAGGTCCCCTCCCCAGAGGCAGAGCGAAATCGTGCCTGCGACCCTGCAAAGCCACATGGAGCACGTCCTGTGTTTATCTTTGTAACTGTCATGGCGGAGCAGGGAGCAGGTGGCCCTGTGCACAGGGGAACTGGGCAGGGATGTCTGAGACCAACAGCCCCCGTGGGATATGGTAAAGGGTGTCTTGGAATTGCCACCCCCCCCCCCCCAGGCAGCAGAGGGAAAGCTCTACGGGCCTCCTCTGAGTCTCCGTGGTGGGAGAGCGCTCCCTCGTGCAGTCAGGGAGGCAGCTGGCTCTGCGGCGTAGAGAACATGCTTCCAGGTCGTTCTAGCAGGGACACAGTTTCCGGGGAGGGCGAGAACCTGGGAATCAAGAAGAGCTTGATTATAAAGATGAAGAAAGGCTGAATGACAGTCTCCCCACAGGTGACTTCTCTCAGGATCAGAAGCTCATAGAACTTTCTGGAGGGAGCAGCTCATCAGTCTAAGCACAAGCCATACACATCCACTCTGTGGGCTGTGGAGGGTGGGAGGTCATGGAGGGTGGGAGGCCCTGGAGGGTGGGAGGTCATGGAGGGTGGGAGGCCCTGGAGGGTGGGAGGTCATGGAGGGTGGGAGGTCATGGAGGGTGGAAGGCCCTGGAGGGTGGGAGGTCATGGAGGGTGGGAGGTCATGGAGGGTGGAGGTCATGGAGGGTGGGAGGCCCTGGAGTGTGGGAGGTCATGGAGGGTGGGAGGCCCTGGAGGGTGGGAGGCCCTGGAGGGTGGGAGGTCATGGAGGGTGGGAGGCCATGGAGGGTGGGTGCCACGAACTTTCAGGCCGCAAACCTGACTCAGCGGTTTGCTGCTGGAGCTTGTTTTCCTCATCTAAAGATTGCACAGGTAATAACAGCACTTGTCTAATAGCTTGTCGTGAGGATCATGAATGAGGGTGTACATTTCCTAGCACAGTGCCTAGATCGCGGACACTCAGAAACTTAACCTGCTATTCCTAGCCCAGAGATTCTCACACTGTCTCCTAGCTTTTTAGTTCCTTAAAGCATCTTAAACACCTGGGACCAGATGATCAGAAAAGCAGATCGAGGGCTACAACTTTCTGGGAGTTTCTTTAAAGTGCAGCCTGTACTCCAAAAACATCTTATAGCCCTTTTAGAATTTATTGTTTATTGAGATACAATGGGCATATATCATTGTATTAGTTTTAGGTGCAGGATACAATGGTTTGATATACATACATATTACTAAATGATCAGCACGAGAAGTCTAGGTGACTTATTCTCCACGTAACCCTTCACCGTGCAGAGCTATAAGGTTTTTTTTCTCACAATGAGAACTTGTTTTCTGAGCAACTTTCAAGCACACGGAGCAGTACCGTTGACTGTTGCCGCCATGCGGACGGGATGTCCTCGGGACTTCCAACTGAAGTTCGTGCCTTTTGACCCCTTTGCCCATTTTATTCACCACTGCCCCCAGCAACACCAGTCTGTTCTCTCTGTGAGGCTGGTTTTACTTTTAAACTTCACGTATAAGTTCACAGCCATTTGAAAGTCTTGGGGCATTAACAACTTGCCCGCCTCAGTTTTTTGGAGGGCGAGGGATTACTGCAACAGAAATTTTAACAGCGGGTCTGTACAGCCATTGGTCACGTTAGTGAGCACAGGCACCCCCTGCCCCTTCCCTCCTGTCTGCTGCTAAGATCTCAGGTAACAGGAAGGGGGACAGGGAGGCAAAAAGGAAAGAGCACAGGTTTGGGCCTGGCGAGCAAGAATCCAAATATCAGCTCTGCCGCTTACTTGTTGGGGCGCTCAGGTGTCGCGTAATCCCGTGGGGGTGTTTTCTCATTCATTTACCCATTTATTCAAGAAGCACTTTTTGAGAACATAGAATATGCCAGGCTCTGGGTATTGGGAAAAAAACACACAACTGTGTCCTGTGGAGCTTACATTCTAACCCAGGGAAATAGACTGTTAGAAATAGACATGATGCACAAGCAAACCAGATAGTCTTTCTGTGACGGAGGTGACGAGATCTTACCCTGGTGGGTGGTTGTTGGTGGCTGTGGTGGATACGAGTCACAGTCCACGTAGAATACACGGACCATGATACATTCTTGCAATTGTTGTTTTTAAAATCCTTACTAGATTTTTTTCACTACTTTAAGATTTTGTTTATTTATATTTAGAGAGGGGAGGGGAAAGAATAGAGAGGGAAACATCAATGTGTGGCTGCCTCTTGAGTGCGCCCTGCTGGGAACTGGCTGCAACCCAGGCATGTGCTCTGACTGGGAATCAAACCAGCAACCCTTTGGTTCACAGGCCGGCCCTCAACCCATGGAGCCACACCAGCCCGGGCTCCTTTACGAGTTTAAACACCTGGTCTACTGTGCACTAGCTGAGAGGCTTCTGAGAGCCCAGAGGCGGGAATGATCTCGAAGTCTTGCGTTTCTGGGAATGAGAACAGCCCACTTCCCTGATGATGTCTCTTTTACCTCAGGTGTCCCAGCTATGGCTGGAGATTCTCGGAATGCGATGAACCAGAATATGGAGATTGGAGTCACTCCCAGGGACCCCAGGAAGATCCCCAAACAGGCACGCGATGACCTCCCCATCGCCACGGACCGCACCCGCCTGCTGGCGGAAGGCAAGAAGCCCCGCCAGCGCTACATGGAGAAGAGCGGCAAGTGCAACGTGCACCACGGCAACGTGCAGGAGACCTACCGCTACCTGAGCGACCTCTTCACCACGCTGGTGGACCTCAAGTGGCGCTTCAACCTGCTGGTCTTCACCATGGTCTACACCGCCACCTGGCTGTCCTTCGGTTTCCTCTGGTGGCTCATCGCTTACACCCGGGGTGACCTGGACCACATTGGCGACAAAGAGTGGATTCCTTGCGTGGAGAACCTCAGTGGCTTCGTGTCTGCCTTCCTGTTCTCCATTGAGACTGAGACCACCATCGGGTATGGCTTCCGCGTGATCACGGAGAAGTGTCCGGAGGGGATCGTCCTCCTCATGGTCCAGGCCATCCTGGGCTCCATTGTCAACGCCTTCATGGTGGGGTGCATGTTTGTCAAGATCAGTCAGCCGAAGAAGAGGGCGGAGACCCTCATGTTCTCCAACCACGCGGTCATCTCCATGCGGGACGAGAAGCTCTGCCTGATGTTCCGCGTGGGGGACCTCAGGAACTCCCACATCGTGGAGGCCTCCATCCGCGCCAAGCTCATCAAGTCCCGACAGACCAAGGAAGGGGAATTCATCCCCTTGAACCAGATTGACATTAACGTGGGCTTTGACACGGGGGACGACCGTCTTTTCCTGGTGTCACCCCTCATCATCTCCCATGAGATCAATGAGAAGAGCCCTTTCTGGGAGATGTCTCGGGCCCAGCTACATCAAGAGGAGTTTGAAATCGTGGTCATTCTAGAAGGCATGGTGGAGGCCACAGGTAAGACACTTCACCTTCCTCAGCCCTTCCCGTGCCCAGGAGCCCAGGCCCCTGGGATTCCAGAAGATGGAAATTCTTGCCTGAGAACCCTGAGATGACACAGTCAACCAGCCCGATGCCTAAGTCATGATGTGAGGAGCGTTGTTGCTCAGGACAGAGTAATAACAGCAGCTCCTGTTCACTGAACCTGCCCAACTTCCAGGCCCTGTTCTAACTTTAAACGTGTGAAATCTCATGGATGCCCTCCACACCCCTCTGAGATACCGTAGTGTTTCTTACATCGCAGATTCAGAAACAGAGGCACAGACAGGCAAGGTATTTGTCCCAGAGGAGTGCCACTAAGCTGTAGGGCAAGGGTGTGCATCAAGGCAGGGACCCCGAGGCTGCCACTAGTTTCCGACAGGCTACCCCGCTGGCCTCCTCCCGTCCTGGAGCAGGTGTTGACCCCCAAAAGCTGTGCGATCAAATAACTTTGGGACCCATGGTGTCACAGGTGGGCACTGGTCACCAGGTTCTTGGTGATCGCAAAGAATTGAACCAAACACATTGAGTTTATAGAATAAAGAGAGAGCAGATTTATTAAGTGATAGTACACTCCACAGAACACGGGAGCAGGCCGACTCTGAGCAGAGACTGTTCTCATGGGCTGGAGGGACTCTATTCCTCAGGGCGGATCCTTCCTGGCTAGTTTTGGTGGGCTTCTATTGCACATGTACAAGTAGTTATATTTTAAAGCTCCTATGCATGTGGTCTCCCATGATTTTCCTTGACTTGCCACTGGAGAAGATGGTCCCAGAATGTGAATTTATTATAATGCTATTAAAACGAAGCAGGGGCCGTGTAGCGTCTTCTGCGCAGGTACACTCAGGAGTCACCATGATTCAGCACTTTTCCAAAAAGCAGGAACAACCGGTCTTAGAGGGTCTCTGTCTTGTAGGGATGTCCTTATCTTAGCCCTGGGGCGCCTCCAGAGTTTTCTCCATCCTGACTATCTCCTGCCTCCACCGGGTTAAACAAAGGTACCTGGTTGTGAACGGTAGGACTTGATGGTGTCTTCACACATCCTGAGTTGCTTCATGAGCAGAGGAGAGTGAGTGGCATTTCCCAAACTCAAGGACTCCCCAAGTGCCAGAATCCTCTTTTTGAAGAGACACCAGTGCCTCAGACCTGTGAGAGGGGCTCTCTGGCTCACTGACCCCCTATCCCCCCAGCTTCTGGCTCAGTGAGCACTGGGTGTGCAGAAAACTGCGCCCACACCCAGGTGCGCCCACGCCGTGCCCACGCCGTGCCCTCCTCACAGCCAGCCTGGCCCTCCCTGCTCAGTCTGGACTCTGACGGGTGTCTGGCTGCTGAGTGTCCACCACCCCTCAGTCACGGTGAAGCCCTCGGGCAGCCCCAGGCCTGAGGAGTCCAAGGCCCTCCCCACACTGGCCGGACCCCTCCAGCAAACCCTGCACCCGGCTTCTTATTCCCAACCCTCCTCTTGTCCCTTTTCTCTCTCTCTTTTTTTTTCACTGAGCAGACTGAACACTTGTAGAAAACTCACTTGCAGAAAAATTGTTCTCGTTTTTGCCATAGTACCACAGGGCCAGCTTCTATCCATTTCACTGGTGAGGCACCTGCAGGGGCAGCTCTTACGGGCAGGAAGCGGTCACAGGCAGGCCTCCACTCACAGACGTAGAGCCTCGGTCCTCCACACCACGCTGCCCCCTAAATGTTAGGCACTGTCACAAAGGTGGCCGAAGGAGGCTTCCCCACCTTTCAGAAAGCTGGTTGCTGGGTGGGAGAGGCCAACGGGGCAGCCACAGACCCTCTCACACCTGCAGGCAGAGGGAACTGGCTGGGGTGCAAACGGGCTCCAAGGGTTGGTGTGGCCATGGCCATGGCCATGGGCCCGGCCGCACGGAGCCTGACCAGGCAGCACGTGGTGGCAGCCGCAGGAACCCCCAGGGCTGAGACCGTGGGGACCCTGAAGGCCTCCTCCAGTGGGGTTGGGGGCCCAGAGGTCATGCTCCCTCAATACTGGGCTCAGTCAGGGTCAGAATGCAGGCTGAGTTTCTGGAGGAGGAGCTCAACTCCAAGGCCACAAACGTGGGGTCAGATCAGACATGTGGGGACAAATAGGAAGCCACTCTCCGGCCACCCTCGCTGCCCCCTGATGCCGGGGGAGTGGGTTTGGAGCCCACCCAGCCAGCTTCCTTCCTCTCATCTCCTTCAAAACCAGTCGCCTCTAGTTGACTTGCCCTTTCTGGCTGACATCTCCCTGCCGGTGACCTTGGTTACCCTTGCTGCTGTCCTTGGGGCTGTGGGGAGACCATGGAGATAAAGGGATGAGGCCATCCCCATCCCCACATCCATTCTGATCTCAGTGTCTCTCGTGGTTTGGTCACCACATGTGTGAAGCCCAAGGGCTGTGGGTTTAGGCCCAGGTCCAACCAGCACAGCTCAGCCAGACCTGCCTTGTAGGTTGTCAGAAAACTGAGGATAATAACCTCACAGGGTGGATGGGGGTTGCATGTGCAAATGAAATAACATCTAAAGCATGGTGCCTGGCACCTCAGTTGGCCTCCGTCCTTTCCAAGTGCATTGAAAGACGACTGCCAAGGGCACAGGTGGGGTCTCTAGCTACAGGGTCACCAATGGCCCACCCAGGAAGGAGAACATAGAAGAGCAGGAAGAGCCCCAGAGGCGTGGCCCCTGGGTTCCCAGGAAGGCCCTACCCAGCTGTCTTTCTTAAAGCCCACGACCTGCAGACCTCTGACCTGGCCACTTCTCAGCTGATTGGTACCCAGCTCGGGCCCCCGAAGCTCTGTTGATGTTGGGGGTTGGGCAATGAGGGGACTAAACTGCAGGGCCTGACCCAGGCAGAGAGCTGGGTCAGGCCCCACGCCACCCCCAGAGCAGAGAGCTGGCTATGACCAGAGCCTGAAGTGTGTGGGGTGCCCTGGGGTTGCCAGGTGTGTATGAGACCCCCTTCCAAAGAAAGGCTGAAGCTGGAGCAGCTTCTCCTTCAGTTCTCAAGGAGCCCTTGTACACACCTTCCTTGACCAGAAAATTAAATACCAGAAAACTGTTTTCTTGCTACCCTAAGCGCAGAGGCTTTCTCATCCATAAACAAAGCTGCCCTCCCTCTCTGGAGAGAAAGAAACACCTAAAAATAACACAGGCATGCCGGGGCTGAGTGCATGGGGAGCAGAGGCACTGGGGCATGCCCAAATCAAGGAGCCAAGCTCCGTGTGTGTGCGTGTGTGTGTGTGTGTGTGTGTGTGTGTGAGAGAGAGAGAGAGAGAGGCAGGGGACCGGGGGTGGGAGGGAAGGGAAGAGGGCAAAATCTTCTGCCCGTATGTGTCTACCCAAAACAATCCCCATGCACTCTAAATGCTCATCGGCTTCTCCGTGTTCCTCACTCTGGATTTATCTTTGTTCAAACTCTTCTCCTGACTCTCATCTCAGTCTTCTGGCCCTTAATGCTGTTTTTAGGAACCATGTCTCTAGTTCTCACTATTCCAAAATCTTCCACTCCAGTCTCTAGGAACCTACACCTAGAGAAATATTTGCATTTGACTTCTCATTTTCTGCCTCCACCACACTGTGAGCCCCTTCAGGGCAAGGACTGTTTCTTATCTAGCTTTATATTTCCATAGTGCTTAGCACAAAGCAGATGTTCAGCAAATGCTTGAAGGATCAGATGGTTGGATGGATGGCTGGCTGGATGGATGATGGATGAATGGATGATGGGTGGATGGATAATCGGATACTTGGATGGATGGATGGCTGCGACCAGTCCTAATACATGTGCCCTCGTTCCCCCAGGCATGACTTGCCAAGCTCGAAGCTCCTACATGGACACAGAGGTGCTCTGGGGCCACCGGTTCACACCAGTCCTCACCTTGGAAAAAGGCTTCTATGAGGTGGACTACAACACCTTCCACGATACTTATGAGACCAACACTCCCAGCTGCTGTGCCAAGGAGCTGGCAGAAATGAAGCAGGAAGGCCAGCTCTTCCAGTACCCCCCCAGCAGCCCCCTGCTAGAAAGCGTCACTAAAGCAGAGTTGGAGGCAGAGGCTGAACAGGATGGAGAAGACGAGCCCGAGGAGCTGAACGGGTTCCGGGAGACCAGGGGCTTGGTGTAAGGGCTGTGCTATCCCTGCATCCTCCCTTCTCTGGCTTCCGTGAGCTCCGATGCTGCAGAGCCAGGGGTCAGGGAGGGTGAACCAGCCGAGTGTGATGTTTGGGGGCCCAGAAGCCATCAGGGCTCTGTGGGAGGACTAGTCTATCCAGTCCCCAGACCTCCCAGCTCAGGGCTTCTCCAGACAGGTGGCCTGTTGCCTGGGACCCTGTGGCAACCCTGCCTCTTCTCTCCCAGCCCCTGAGAGTGCTGGCTAAGGGCCAGGCCAGGATGGGTCACCCTGCAATGCAAGGGACAGGGTGGCCTCTATCCTTACACATGAATCCTTATCAACTGGCCCCAAATCACCCCCCTCTTGGGTCTCACGGACCAGCTGGTGGGGGCTGACACCTACAGAGGACGGTCACCCCCTTCCCCTCGTTCCTACCAGCCCAGGGCTCCTCACGGATTTATGGAGAGACTCTGCCCTCCTGGAGACTTGAACGCTCATCCTAGACCCAGGTTATGGACCTCCTGGGTTAGGCTCGAGCCAGGCTATGCAGGCACTTCTGTCACACTGAGACCAAGGGTGTCACCGTGGGGGCTGCAGAGGACAAGGCCCTGGGCGATCTCTCTCCTTGCCTGTGAAGGGTGCGTGCTCATCCTCTGCTGGGCTCTACCTGTCACACGTAGCTTCCTGGGCACCTGACCTTCTTGGCGTGGCTCCTCAGGTGGCCTGGGCCACAGAGCACCCCTGAGCCTGTGCAGGGTGCAGGCCATTCCTAGTCACGCTGTGCCCTGCCCCACCCACCAAAGGGAGAACCCCAAAGCTGGTTCTTTTTTCTACTTTCAGCCCAAGAATCTCCAAGTGCTTCTAACCTTCACTGTGACTTTCAAAAATCCCAGAGAGTCGGTGGCGGATCAAGGAGAGAGAGGGCTGAGTTTCAGAGGACACGATGCTCCAGGCAGTGTGGAGAGAGGGAGGGAAAACAGAGAGAAAGGCAAGCGACTCAAATTTTAAAATCAGCATCAGCACCAGTTGTTGCTGAGGTATCTGAGGTCAGGACTCGGCGCATCTTCATTAACCAGTGAATTAGGGGGTGGGGCCGAAAGGAGAGGTGACCCAGAGGCAGCACCCCCTTCAAGCCCAGGCTGGACCAACTCTCAGCTGGTCCCAGGAGCCCCTGGGCTGGCCCTCCCACAGCCAGGAGTCTGGGAAGGAGGCGAGGCTGGGAGAGCAGGGACCATGCCCAGGGAGGGGGTGGGAGGGACGGAGTCCCGTCCTGCAAACATCGGGGAAGAGAATCATGGGAGAATAAGAAGGGGGTGAACACGAAGAGAGAAAGAGCAGAGGACAGCCTTAAAACTGACAGCTTCAGAGGGCTTTGCTTTTCCAGTACAGATGGCACCGAAGGAAGATGGACAGATGGACAGAGCAACAGTGCACATTGTCCTGTCGATGGATGCAGCGTGTCTGGTGTATGTGGAGGCAGACAGATGTCTGATTAGCTGACCTATACCTGGAGAGAGATTTCAAATGTTCCCCAGTCACAGAATTATGGAGGCCTCACCTAGAATTTTTTTAATCCTTACCCAAGGATGTGATTAATTTTAGAAAGAGGGGATGAGAGGGAGAGAAACATCAACTGGTTGTCTCTTGCATACACCCCAACTGGGGACCAAACCTGCAACCCAGGCTTGTGCCCTGACCAGAATCGAACCCACAACCTTCTGGTTTTCAGGACAACGTTGCAACCAGCTGAGCCACAGGGGCCAGGCCTCACCTACAATTTTCACAGCTCTCAACTGGCCTGTGAACACAGAAGCGTTCTCCTGCCCGCAACACGAAGTGCCCTCCCGGCAGTAGGAGCAAAGCTGCAGAGAGGTGGAAAGTTAAGGCAGAGCAAAGAGACTTGCGTTTGGATCTCAGGCCCTGGGCCCCTCAGCTGGAGCCTCCAGGACCTGAGGCAGGTGAGGAGGGAAGGTGGCAGCTGCCACCCTGAGGGCAGTGTGGTCCCCGTGCTTGGGCACACAGGCTGGATCTTGAGAGGTGGGCACAGGGAAGCAGTGAGCAAGCGGAGGTCTTCCCCAGAGGCACAGTGCTGAGTCAGGGCTCGGGCACCCATCCGGGGGGAAGCAGGTCATGCCAGGGACTGGAACCCTGCCCTTGGCGGGAAAAGGAAGCTGGCAGCCCGCAGCCTCGCACTGGGAATGGCCGCAGTTAGGAGTCTATGGTGGGGAGCCCACCACTAGGTCAGAGGCCTCGGGGCGAGAGGAGCTGCAGCAGGAGCTCCGGTGCCAGCGCTGACCCAGGCCCACCAGACCCAGGGCTTGGCCAGCAGGACTAGTTCCTTGCCCTCAGCCAGACCCGCAGCCTGCCTCAGTCACGCCCCGCAGTGCCTGCAGGCTCCAGCCCTCCGTGAGGCTGCTAAGCAAGGACAGGAAACCACAGGTGCAAGTAGCCTGGCAGCTGCACTGGGGCCTGTTTCTCACCTGTCTCCTCCGTTTATGATTCGGAGCATCTGCAGCTGGCCGAGCGAGATGCTTCCCAGTTCTCTGTCTCTGCAGCGGCCTCGGCAAATGCAAATCACACATCTCTGCCGACCACCGAAGCCAGAAAGGTCACGGAAGAGGAAGAGAGCAACGCAGCCCAACTCTAAAGCTGTGCACAGACCAGAGGCCACGTGTACGGGGATTAGTCACGTACTAATCCAAGTGTGCACATTAGCTGCTTTCTCTCGTGGAAACACAGAAGCAAGACTGCCATTCATAAACCTAGAAAATCCTCCTTCATGGCTGGTTGATCCAATGAAAACTTGGAAAGTTCTTCAGACCATTTTGCGGAAGTTCTTGCAAACACATGGACTTACCAAGTGCAAAGTCCGATCGATGGCGGCCAGAGCTTCAGCGAGTCACTTTTAAAACGTTGTGCCGGCACCCCAGTCCTCGAGGGGCAGCACCCTGGGTTGCGTGGCTCAGAACCCACTGTGACTTCCGACAGGCCAGGGAGAGCTGGGTCAGGCTGTGAGGCAGGGCCGCTGGGAGTTCCCAGTGGCCCCTACACCTCCCAGATCCCAAGTGTCATCCCTGGGCTCAGACCCCGCAGCACTGAGAGCTGAGCCCTGCCTTAGCATCTACATCCTTCCTCTCTGAGCATAAACACGCCCTGTAAGGGAAAGGCCCTAAGGCCCAGGGGAAGGTAAGTAGCCCCTAGCTCTCCTCCCCCATTCAATCTGGCAGCTGACGGGTGTTGACACCTTTACCCAGGGGACCCTGTCCCCAGGCCAGGTAGAAAGGGCATTTCCCGTGATTCAGACGCCACCCTGGCTGTCTGATCAGAGCCCACTTCTTGTCATTTCATTCTTTTGCTTTGATATCACGGCTACAGCCATTGACCTTGACAGAGGAGAAAGAGCCCTTGTGTGTCCGGGGAGAGCCCTGCCTCCCAGGATCTGTAACCCTTGGACACCTTCTTTCGCATTCCTGTCCTGCAGCTGCCTTCCAGCAGGTCTGTGTCTGTGAGTCGGGAACCATGGCAACTTGAATGTTTCATATTGACATTGCCCAAAACAAAACAGTCAGCCCGTTGTCTGTTAAGAACATGCTCCAAATACACCTCCGCACACACCATTTACGCAGCACTACCGCGTGCCCAGCTGTGGGCAGGCACCTCACACCCGGTGGCTGTGTCTAATTCCCAAAGCACTGCAGAGAAGCCCTTAGAGCCCCTTGTTACTGAGGAGACAACAGAGGTTCAGGGTGGTTAATTGGTTTGCTCAAGGCCACACAGATAATGACAGGTGCCGAGTGCCTCCCAAACACACACAGATGGGCCATCGTCCTTAACTTGCACGTCCGAGGCACGTCTCTGGAGCTCAGGCAGCAGGAATAAGGACGCCCCACCCCTTCAGACCGTGGGGTTGCGTGCGTGTAGTGCTATAGAGCATCGGCTCCCATCCACCAGCAGGTTCCCCTGTGGCAGGACAACTGGGAACACGTTCTCTGATTCCTAGAGAATGAATGGGCTGTGATGAGAGCTTGGATGGGAACTTACACCGATTCAGGAAGAAGCCAGTTCTGCTCAGCTTGGTTTTTACCAACGACACCTCCTTAAACTGCTATGTCCAACCTTTCTCCCTGTTTAGGATTTGTCAATCTTCTCATTAAAAGGACGCCACTGCATTGCGAAAAATTCATCCCGTAAAGTGGGTTTGATCTTACCAGACTCTACAGATGACCACGGGCTTCCCAGGGAAGTTCATTGCCAATTGAAGCAAACTCGGCCTTCTTATTTGCATCAGCCTAAAACTCAGCAGCAACGTCTAGACCCGTGTTGGGGTGACCATGTGGGCAAAGGTGGGAGGAGGAAACCGAATGAAGAGGCCGGGCCAGGAGTCGGGGTTCAGTGGGCAAAGTGCAGGCCAGGGCACCAGAAACACAGAGAACATGAGCAATGCAGATTCTTAGGTTAGTTCATTCATCCCGTCCCCCAAACATTCTTTCACACGTTCTTTCATGTTAAATGTTCAGATCTACATTATTTAGTAAGTAATTAAGTATCTAAAAATTCTCACTTTGGGGAGCCCGTGGACCAGCAGGCCACGTTCGTGACATTACCTAGTGAAAGGGTCGGCATGACCACGCGATGCGGAGGGTGCGGAGGAAGCTGTGACGTTCGGTGTTGGCAAAGGACAGGATGTCGCAAGTTAAGGCCAAAAGTCTCTGTTGAAAATGTCATTAATACTAGAGGATTTCAGATTAGCTTCTCTTCTGCCCTAGTCGACCCAATGGGAATGGAACAGTTCTGATTTATGAGAGAGGTTAGCTGAAGATCTCTCACTTAAATCACTCCAAAAGGGGGAACTGGCTCGCCAGGGCTTGGGCTCAGCTTCGGAGGCAGCGTTTTAAGTTGTGAAGAGCAGACGGCACTGCTGTGCGTGGGAGGCCCCCCGTGTCCGGCCAAGGGCGCCCAGGCCTGTCTGTCTCAGTCAGTGCGGGCTGCCACACCAACCTCCCACGGACTGGGCAGCTTAAACAGTGAACATTTGTTTCTCACAGTTCTGGAGGCTGGGAAGTCCAAGATCAAGGTACCAGCAGCCGATCCAGTGCCTGGGGAGGGCCTGCTTCCCGGTTCACAGGTGACCGTCTTCTCACAGTGTCCTCGTGATGGAAGGAATGAGGACTTTAGGGACTCTTCTTATTTGTATTGTTTTACTTACTGATTAGAGAGAGAGGAGAAGGAAGTGAAAGAAAGAGAAAGACAAACTTCAACTTGTCGTTTTCCTTATTTATGCACTCATTGGTTGCTTCTTCTATGTGTCCTGACTGGAGATTGAACCCACAACCTTGGTGTGTTGGGATGACACTCTAACCAGCTGTCACGATCCCATTCAGGAGGGCTTCACCCTGAGGACCTACTCAGTAGAGACCCTACCCCCTATTACCATCACATGAGGGGTTAGGGTTTCAATTAGGGGTGGGGCACACACATCCAACCTATAGCGAGGCATTAGCAGATTAGTGCCTGTGACCCAGGCTAAAGCCGGCGCAGGGCCACCAAGTCAGCATCAGCAAAAGGACCCTGGAAATACTGAGGGTGAAGCTGCCTTCCTGGTGGTCGTGTAAAATAAAACGTTTACAAAGGCCAGGAGGCTCTGGAAACAGCTGCCTGCTTGCCTGTGGGGTGGGGGCATCATGGGGGTGGGACGCTCTTGGCAATGGATTATAGCTCAAAGACTGTTCTGCATCAGAAGGCAGACACCAAGTCAGAGGGCAGGAGGGTGCACCCTCCCCAAGGTCACGTGTGCTGGTCAAGCCTGAGTTGCAGTTTGGGGAAGGAGAACCAGACGTGCATTCCTAATGCAAAAGCAAAAAATTCAAAAGCAAAAATTGAACACCACCCTCGGCAAACCCATCCTGGCCCCAAGGGTCCTGACAGCTTGTGCCAGGCAGGGGACCAGCCAGAGACACGCTCCCTGGGTGTCTGTACAGACCCCGCACGATGCCAGCCATAAAGCCTGTCGGTGGCAAATAAATGTCTGGGAAGGAGCTTCTGAAACAGAAATGTCGCTGACTTGTCTCTCTAAGGGACTATTCACTGTAACTCAGAGCTGCTGTGACAGTGACCTGGCCGCCTTGCAGAGAAGGAATTAACGAGAAGGTGAGCACCTCAGTGCACTTGGTCTTGAGCTTCCTTCTTCTGCACGGCGGCAAAAGCCTGCGTGGGGACCCCGAGGGCTGAGCGGGATGCGGCTGCTGGCGGTAAGGAAGCAGGTGATAGGCACAGGCATTTAGGGTCCCTTCGTGTGCACACACTGAAGGTCACTGTCATGTTCTAAATTGCCTCTTAGATACCCCAAACACGCTCATGGGGGAGAATGCAGTCAGCCCCGTGTGATGCCAACCTTCACAGCAGTGACTTTGTCTCTCTGAATCTGAAGAAAGGATCGGTCACTGTCACTCAGGAATTCGTGGCCATCTGTTCCCCTCCACGAGGAAGAGGCCAGCTGGGCCTGGTCCGTGGAGCAGATGGGTGGGAGGGGAAGTGTTTGCTGAACCCAGACCACACCCCAATGGGTAGAAACGTGGCCACCACCTCCCCAGTGTTTCCCACTAAGGGCCTGCGATGGTGGAGCCCTCACCTCCTTGCTCTTCTACACAAAAGGAGGGAGCTACCGCTCTCTTGTCTCCCAGAATTCCAGTGGGACCATGGTAGCATCGGAGAACCTGGCCATAAGTCCAGTGGCCGCCCGTCCTGATCACTGTCCCCAGGCCGCAGGACTTTTGTCAGGTGTCCACACAGCCAGGTGGTTGTGTCAGAATGCAGGGCCGACTCCGCACAATGTTCAAAGTGTCTCTGACTTCTCCTCACCTCTGGTTTCCCGCACGGGTTTCCCGCACAGGCCTCCATTCAACACATGCTTACTGAGCACCTTCTGTGCTCCAGGAGCATCCGGGACAGGCGCTGCGGACTCAGCCTCAATCTAAACAGACGTTCTCCCCACCACCCACCCCTCGGGGAATTTACTGGCTGCTGGGGAGTGAGGAGCCACGGGAAAGTGCACAGATGAGAGGCTGGCATCTGCAGCAAGGGCTGTGGAGGGAACAAACCCGGTGTGAGGTCGAGAGCAGCCAGGTGTGCTGAAGCAAGGACCTGGGACTGTCTTTCGGAGGAGGTGTCCCCAGCAGAGGGGTTACATAAGAGCAGCAATGGACTAATCAGGCGAAGTGGCAGAGGCAGAGTGACTGATTCTGAGCAGAGGGAACGGCATGAATGTGAATGTGCCAGGGTGGAAGGAGGGAAGGATGGGCCGGGGAGGCTGCAGCACAGCACGGGGGAGGGGGAGAGGGGCCGGCCCCGGCGACGTGGCTGGGAGTGTGGAAGGGTTTTCCCAGAGGGGTGACCCTGCGCAGTTCTACGCTGAGCAGGTGTGGGCTCAGACGCACGTCCCTTTCATTCCCCAGGGCTTTCAGGCTACCGGCCACATGGCGGGGACACTTTCTGAGCTGCTCAGTCAGCCAAGGTTGGCTGCACCCAACCTTGGCCTCCAAGAGAGAAAAGACACAGCTCTTTCTAAACACCTCTTTACGAACATGTCCAAGCTGTACACTCAGGAGTCTTTCTGAGCTACCCTGAACAAATTCATTTTAAGTATTATTGCACGTCTTACATGTCGGACACCGATCAGATTTGTGGGGACCCTTGTAAGTGCCACAAACTATACCCCAGGTCCGCCAGCAGCGTTGTCCACCTGCTCCTGGCAACCGCCTCACCCAGCTTCTCCGCCGGTGGCCCTGCAGCCCTCGGGCTCCGCAGCCATGCCCAGAAAGCCTTCCTGGTGCCCCCAGCACTGACCCTGGCAGCTCCTTCTGCACTCGTCTCAAATAGGTAGCAGGCTCTTTACACTGCAACATTTCCAGGCTGCAGCTGCAAGAGAAGATGAGTCTCTTCTCAAAGCCTTAACAGTTTCCACTTGAAAAAGGAAATTTAATTCTGTGAGGAACCGTTCGTGTGTATGACGGGTACACAACGTCTGGGAAACCGGGATTGGTTGGGTGCACCTGAGGAGGCCACTTCCCCTTCCTAATCTCTCCCCCCCACGGGCATCATGGACCCCCACAAGGCCCGGCACTCTGCCCCCTCCTCTGCCCACCACCCACGGCCGAATGCCTCACACTCACTGACGTTGCCTCCTAAAGCTCCTTCAAGAATAGCAGCCCCCTGTCCGTTGAAACTCACTAGTCCTTTCTTCTCTGTGTATGAAATAGTTTGTATTATAAAAATAAGACAACCAATTGATCCTTTTTAGGATGGAAGAGTTTGGGGAGTGGGACTCAGTTGTGGCTAGAAGTCCTTCCTGGCCACCCTCTCAGGCCAGACTTAAATCATAACCACTCACTCACTCGTCCAGCAAACACTGATGAGCACTTTCCGAGTTCCAAGCATCCTGTCGGGAGCCGGGGAAATGGACTTGAACAGGGGGTGGCCCCTGCTCTTTGGGGGCCCAGAGCCAGGCTGGGCGGAGGGGTTCACACGGATTGCTCCCTCTCTGACCAACGGCCTCAATGGCACGTAGACACAGACAAATGCCTGTGCTGCTGAGTCCTTGAGGAAAGAACCAGGTGAAATACATGGGTATATTTGTGAAAATTATTCAAAGAAAGGATTCAAAATTCAGGTTTTGTTTATAAAATCAATGATTTGTCGTCAAGTAAGTAGTAATGATTTATACATTTAAAATATGCCATTAAAAGACAGTTTAATTCCAGGAAAAACCTTCACAGGCCTCACGCCCAACCCTCTCAGGTCTTGTTTATGCTTAGCCCTCTCATCTACGGAGAACTGGTCGACCAGCAACACTTCACCCCCAACTGTCCGTGGCTTACAGTTGTGATGAGCACAGAGTTCACTGTGGGCAGAGAGCAAGTCTGATTACTGTGAGGATTTTCCCGAGCTCCTCTCGGCTAAACCATGGGCATGGACTGAATCTGTGCATTCCTTTTTTGTGTGTTACACAGTTTCCTGGATGTTTTTCATGCTGCGAGTTAAAAAAAAACAAAACAAAGAAACCACAGCCATTCATCCACAGACCGGGGAAAACTCCGCTGCCTGCAGGCCCGCCTGAAGCCCTCTTGTCCGCATCGCTGCAGGCGCCCGGCGGAGGCCGCATTTCCCACCCCGAAGCCCAGGCCTGCAGGGAGTTTCTGCAGAGACCTGCACTGCAGGCCTCTCTCTTTCATGCTCATCAGTGTGCAAACCTCAGTGAGAGACCCTGCTGGGGGACACTGTGGGCCTGGAACGGTTTTTTGGACTGGAGTTCCAACCATAGGCTAAAGAGACATGGTTCTTGTCCTGGAGGAACCAATACTGGAGGGGGAGGTGAGCACTAACCTAATAAATTTACAGTGTGAATGCACGCGTGTGCTTTTGTCCAGTCCTTTTAAAGAGGTGTACAGGGCAATGAAAGTTTAAAAACCATAGATCGGGGGACCTTACCTGGTCTGCAGAAAAGGCCTTGAGGCTGAGTCCTGAAGTAAAAGAAGGGCTCGATCAGGAGGAGTCAGAGTGCAGACAGCCCCCCAGGAGTGGGCATTGCTTTGGGAAAGACTCCGATTGTGGAGAGGGGGGTGATGCCTGTTACATCCCATCCTTGCGAGCAAGAAGGGTCAGAGACTGCTGGGTAGTCAGAGGTGTTTTATTGGCCAAAGTTTCAAAGTTTTACCTGCGCAGGGGTGAACTCTCGGGGTGCCTCCGGAGACACACGAATGCCAAAATGGCTGGAGAGTCACGCCTAACGGTTACAGGCTAGGGTTCTTATAGAAGCGGGCAAGCAAGCAACTTCCAGAAGCAAAAGGTGGCAGTTAGCTACTGGCTCAGGGGCTTATGCTAGGGCTCGTGATCTTGCTGATGATTGGCTGGCAGGGCTCATGAACAGCTCGTGCTCAGGTTAGCCATTGGCCTAGGGGCTCATGCTACGGGTAAAAATTCCCCCCCCCCCCAACGGATGTTCCAAGAAGCTATCTGCTTAACTTCCTGGAACATTTGCCCGGGGGTGGGGGTGCAGTCCCCCCACCCAAGCTTGAGCAAGCAGCTAAGGTTGAACAAACAACTTAGTTTTCTTAAGACTATTTCCCTTAGCCCCTAACAATGCCCTGAAAGATCCAAAAGGAAGCCAGGGGAGGGGCTGGCACATGGGGTGGGGGCACAAGGGAAGATGCTGGGCGATAGGCCGGAGGTCTGGGCTGAGCTAAGGCAGATTCTGATCATTGTCCTGGGGGCAGTGGAACCCCACTGGTCAGTTGGCATCCTTACAGTAATCATCTGGTTAAGAGCAGAAAACAAATTGAAAGGGGCATGAAAGACCAGCGGGGTGAGAACTGATGGTGACTTGGACTGAGGAGGCAGCAGTGGGTTGAAGAGATGCTGACAGGCTTGAGAAAGGGTAGTAGGAATAATTCAAGGATAGGTCCCAGGGAGAGAGGGGTATCGGGAAAAGGGTCAGGCCTCTGGCCTGCAGAACCACACAGCAGGCTGGGTCACTCCCTGAGCCCAGCCGCCCAGGAGCACAGTCCAACCCTGGTGGAAGTGGTGGTGGAGGAAGAGGAGGAGAGGGGAAACTGGTATGAGTTTGGTTTTGGACCCCACGGAAGAGCCATGAGATGAAAACACAGCAGGACTCAGCACCCCGAGGCCACACATTTATCTGCAGAGCCAGTCCTTCAGACTTCCCACGGCAGCCACCTGCTCGTCCCCAAGCACACCAGCGTCCCAGAACAGGCAGAGAGCCCGTCTTCATGCAAGAGAACGCCTGCATTTCATGCTGATCCCCTCTTCTCTCCTCTCTCCATATGGCCTCTTTTCCTTTCTTATATGTCATCCGATCTAGCTAGCTCTGGATTTCTCTCCTAATTCGTTCTTTTCCATTGTACCTTTGCCATTGCTTTTGATTTCTGTGGCCCATGTAAATACCCTGCTTTCATTCTCGAGGGTTTCTTTTAAACTTGCTGTCATCTGCTTGGTTTCGACGGGGATGTGTGATATGCAGCCAGATGAAAAGAGGGAACTTCAGTGGTGTCCTTACAGACTTGCATTTTCATATCAACTGGGGTAAAAATGGTTGAACCCTCTGAAAGTGCGGGCGGGCAGAAGGCTGTGCGGAACGAAACAATGGACTGTTTGTGTGGCGTGAGGCCTCCGGGAGGAAATCTTAACAAATTAATGGTGAGCAGAGAACTTCATCAACAACAGTTCATATGAAATTTGATTCTGACACTACTGCCCTCATTCCGTCCCATCCCCTTTAATTCACACTCACCGCGGAGACCAGCCTGCTCTGGAAGAGAGTCCAGGAAGAGCTCAGGGTACAGAGTCGGTGACGGGTCCCAAACAGTCCCACTTCATTCATTTTATCTTATTCACTTAAGGAAGGTCTTTGTGTGTCATGGGTCAGGGCCGGTCACTCCCAGGGCACCCATCTGTCATTTCTCCTCCATTTTCAAGAGTCGCACTTCAAGTTTCTACGGCAAAATCCTCGGCCATGTTTCAGGAAAATGTTCAGTGGAGGGCAACTCACACACTCACACAACACAGGTACGCAACACACACCCCTCAGTTTTTTCTTACTGACCTTCGATTTGCTTATAATAACCACCGCATGACACACTGGTTAGAGTGTGTCATGCATTGTCTAATTGCTTACAACAATTAGAGTTGTAAAAGGAAAACCACAAATATGAATATCCTGTGGTTTGCATTCATGGTTTGCATCACCATTTTCTTCAAATGCCTCACAGGTGAGAAGCAAAAAGCGCTCCTGCAGGAAGGAATGTTGTCCCCCGCTCTGAGTAGCCACACTTTCTGGGGAAGAAGAAGCCTTTCTGTCGGACCGTCCCAGCTTCACCCTCTGAGTCCCTGTCACTGCCGTGGAAGAGTGACAGTCACCCCGTGGAAGGTCACAGAATTACATGAGGTTTCACAGGAAGGCCTCACTCAGAGCGGCTCCTTTTTCTTTAACTTGGGGGTCATGTGCAGAGAAAGGAGCCACCTATTCTCACCTCCTGTCCCCTCGGGTTCCCCCTGCCCTTTAGCCAGGCACAGATGAAGTCATCCCAGTTTGTCACACCTTTCCCTCAGTTCCTCCTGCCACCTCCTCTTTCCCTTCACCGTTCCACTGTTTTCCACCTAATTACTGGCCTTCTGAGAACTTCTCAGGCCAAGCTAAATGGGCCTCTTCTCTCAGACCTGCCGGCAGTGTGCCAGTGGCTGCCCTCCTGGCAGGGCCCGTTCTGGCCCCGTGGAGAAGATCAAACACACAGCTCTTCAAAGATGTGGGGGCTCCCCTCCCATTTATTCCTCACGGTGATGGTGAAAGGTATGTCTACTGGCCCTTCCCAGTGAGGGTGCGTGGGTCTTAAGTGACAACCCACTCAGAAATTCCAGTCTCCCTCAACCTTTGAATCTCTTCCTCTACATTAAACCAAGTGCCTGGCATCTCCATTTGCTCATGGTGGGTCACACTTCAGTCCACGCTTTAGCCGGCCAGCCAAGAGGACTCCCCTGGCACATACCCTGCAAGGCTGGGGCTTCAGCTTGCATTGTAAGCCAGTCACTCAGAAGATGAGATTCTGCATTCGGTCCTCGGTCACCTCTGCCCACAGCTCCAGGAGGTGAGGGTCCCATCAGGGCACAGCAGGAGCTCTTCAGTCACGTAAGTGGGGCTTGAGCTGGAAATTCAGGTCACTGAGCTCACCCTTGTCTTTCACCGCTTTCTCCAGGGATGTCAGCACAACCAACCCACGTCATTAGTCAGTTTCCAAGAGATGTTCCAAAGTTTCATGTGCATGGTCACCTGGCATCTTGCTCCTTGTACGTAGTTCACCGGGAGTACCCCATGCAGGTGTTTTGCATATCCCTATGCACGATTCACATGCTGGACAGTCTGTGCTCTCTTCGCTACTGGAAACAGAATCATTAGCATCTTCCAATCTAATTAGATTAGAGAGCCATTTCCAGAAACCCCGGAACCAATTCCAAAAACTCACCCTTCCTATTCTATGCCTCCAGAACCACAATCAGGACCAAAATCTGTGTCGGTCATGGTCCTCCAGAGAAACGGAGGCAGGCGGAGGGCTTCTGTCTTTCTTCACTCTGAGGAAGGGGCTCACAGAATGATGGAGGCTGAGAAATCTCACCCCTTGCCCTCTGCAAGCTGAGGACCCAGGCAAGTTGGTGGTGTGGTCGAGCCTGAGTCTGAGTGTTGGAGAACCAAGGGAAGTGGCGGCATGAATCCCAGGAATAACAGAAAATGCTTCCCTCTTCTGCTTTTTCTTCTATTCAGGCCATCACTGGATTGGATGACAGCCCCCTCCCCTCACTGCGAAGGGCTCTGATTCAAATGCTAATGCCATACCCAGAAGCAATTTTAATCTGCCAACCACACTGACTCGACCGTATTCACTGTAAGAGGCAGCGGAGAGCTTCCGGTGAGTTTGAAGAGGTAAGACTGGAGAGGAAAGGAAGTGGATGGAGTTGGGCAAGAAACATAAAGACCCACTCCCTTGGTTTGGGCTTGAGCAGCTGGGCGGACAGCGACAACGTGTCCTAAGAGGGAACAGTGGAGAATGAGGAGACTTGGAAAAAGTCAGTCTCACTTTTCCCACGGTGGACGTGAAGCCCCTGGAACATGTGTGGGTGCGAATGTGGGGTCGGGGACGGAGCCTGCACAGGGTGCTGACAGGTCGCAGACAAACCCATAGACCCTGAGAACAGAGGAAAGAGAGCTCAGGAGGCCAGGAGTGGCGAGCACTGTCACCCGAGGCTAAGACAGGGATGGAAAGGCGTCCCTTAGTCAGGCCTGCCTCGGGGAGCGGAGGGGCTGGCACTGCCTGAGCCTGGACTACACCTGACCCTGCCAGAGGACTGGCTCTGAGGCCCAGGTGAGAACAGGAGGGGATGGGAAGGTGGGTTTAGAGTTTTGCCAGTGTGCTGCTGTTTTAGGTGCTGGAGATTCAGCGTGTTCAGCGCTGATAGGGCACAATAAAGAGACAGGAGAACGCAGAAGCTGCCCTGCAGTAAAGAAGCCCTAGGGAGATGGTCCCCGAGAAAGGGGGGCTGGGCTGCAGAGCGCACCGTGCAGGCCGGCAGGGGAAAAGCCTCAGCCGGAACTGCACCCTCCCCTGGCTCTCCTCATGGACTTCCACCCCCTTTCCTTTTGCCTCTTTAAAATCCTGCTTATCCCTCACTGCCCGGGTGAAGTGAGCACCCCTTTTACTTCATACCCACCCCAACCCTCGGGGTTCCCTGTGTCACCAAAAATGTGTGGCCGTAGCAGCAACACCCATTGCCGTCACCAAACAATGCCCCACACCCTCTAGATGTGCCAACGATCTCGTTTACCAGCCGGCTGGTCAACCACGGGAGCGTGTCCCTTCTTTTACTGCGGCTCCCTCAACACCCAGCCCTGGCCTGGCAGGAAAAGTAAACAGGCTTTTACTGCGGAGACACCTCCAGAGGGGAGTCGGGGTGAGGGGGAGACCTGCAGCGCCCTGTGCACCTGGGGGAGCACTCAGAGACACGCAGAGGGAGGTCCCGCTCACGGGGTCCCCGTAGCCCATGAAGGCAGGGCTGAGCTACTGGTGATTAAGGAAAGGCACAAAACACAAGTTCAGGATGGTGTACCTAGGACAGCCTGGGGTGCTGACAGCATTTCTGGTTCCTGTATGTGTCCTCCTGTCCTCACTGAATGTGTCAGGCAAACAGAGGAGCTAATCTCCAAAGCCATGGGAAGGTGCTAAGAACCGATGAGGTGTGAACACAGCTGAGGGGCACGCACCCCTGACAGGCAGTAATCAGAGCTCTGCAAAAATAGCAGGGAGGAGATTGGCAGGTAGGAGGGCGATAAGCAGCCCCCGGGCAGCACAGAGCTCGGGGAGGCCGCCCCTGACAGCGCCGACCTTGGGCATCGCACTCCTTCACGTAACTTGCACGTCTCGCTTGTCTTCAGCATTCTGGGGGATGGTTAGGGTACTGAGTTAATTAGGAAAACTGGTATTTGTAAAATGCTTAGAACACTGCCCAAACATAGTAAGCATGAGGGTTAAATAGAATAATAAAGCAGTAGCAATAATAATTGCTATCCCCAACAAACATGATTTAGACACAAACTTGGACTTGAGTGATACATCTTCTAGTTTTTTCAGTTATCTGCTAATAAGACATTTAAATTCTGATGTCTGTTTCTTCATTTGAAAATAAAAATATTCTGTCGTGGGAATAACATAAAATGCCAGTGTAACGTCTGGCTCAGCCCAGCAGGCCTGGCAGGGAAGGGGAGGAGTCTCCCCAGGTGAGGACAGTCTCCCACTTTCGCTCCGGAAGCTGCCCCATAAGGCCCTGTGGTGGAGCACTTATGCGTCAACTTGGTTGGGCCACGGTGCCCAGAGATGTGGTCAAACATTATCCTGGGTGTTTCTGGGAGGAAGATTTGGATGAGGTTAGTACTGACTCGGTGGACTCTGAGTAAAGCAGACTTCCCTCTGCAGTGCGGGGGTCTCATCCAGTCAGCTGGAGGCCTGCACAGGACAAGAGACCACCACCTCCCCAGACAAGGGGCAAATACTCCACCCACAGCCCGTGGAGTGGAGCCGAAACCCCGCCTCTCTCTGGGTCTCCAGCCTGTGGGCACGCGCTCCAGGTTTTGCACTTGCTAGCCATGTGATCACATAAGCCACTTCCGTAAAGATATATGTAATATGTATATATTTGGACGTGTATATATCATATACAGACATATACGATACACGTTCCGTTGGTTCTGTCTCTCTGGAGAACTCGGACACAGGCCTGGAACTCCCTCCGTGGTCGGAACCATGCCCGCCTAACCCCGAAGAGCCAGGCCGAGGAGACGTCGGACCTGATGGCCGAGGACAGGGAAGCGAGATGATCACGTGTCCAGCGTCCGCGGCTGTCTGGCTGCCCGGCCGAGCTTCTGCCCTGACGTTGCCAAGCCCACACTGACACCCCAGGGCGCTCTGACTTCGGGAGCGGAAGGCCAGACGGACGCGGAGGAGGGAGAGAACGGGCTTTTTGGGGAGTGCATGGACTGGACTGGACGTGCAAGAGCTGCGATGATGACAACGACAGGGACCAGGGCCATCGAATCTGACACAGGCCGTCGTGAGGCACGCTGTATCTTATGACCAAGAAGATGAAAAAGCATCCTCAGGTGTCAGAGATGTCAAAACAGGAAAATATACATCTCAAAATAAATAACACAGGGTAATAACGGTAGTAATAAGCTGTCCGGGACTCACCATGAGCAGGTGCTGCTCCGAGCACTTCCTGGGTGCTGTTTACTTAGTACTCGGCAAATGTATGAGATGGAACCTGCTCCCAGACCATTTTACAGATGAGTACGCTGACTCCAGGCCAGCTGGGCTCATGCAGCCCCTAAGTGTCAGAACTAGGAACTGAACCTGGGCTGACTGGCTCCAGGGTCCCTGCATTCAACGGCTCTGTAAGGACAAAAATTCGGAGACCGCTCATCCCAATCTGTCCCATTGTCCGGGGTCCTGCTGACCGGCCCAAAGCCCATCCCGGAAAGTCCAACGGCTTGTCTGAAAGGGACCACACTTCCACGCGCCATTTGTTTCTTTGAGAAGTTCGAATAAAATATATCTACAGCAGTTCACGACTCTGTCATGAAGTCACTTCATCAGATGGCAAATCTGGGGAGAGGCCAAAACTCAGAGATCCCTGTGTGGTTACCTACATTTATTAAGAGGACATCAAGTTATTTTATTCAATTGCAGCCCAGGCCCAGGGGTTCACTCGGTGAGTCATTATCATACACCAGCCAGGGACTGGGTGCATCTCTAGGGACTGAAGAGGGAGCGTGCACTGGTCCCCTGCGGCCTCTATGAACCTGGGGACTCAACACTAAGCACCTAGAGCTTTGGAGAAACCCCCGGTGAAGTGTCAGGAAGTGCCCTGCAGGGTGACTTCCGGGACAGTTCATTCTTCTCTGGTGTTTCTCCCTAGGTGTTCACGGAGTCCTGGGGGCATTTCACCTCAGGACAGGGATGCTGCAGCTGCTCTGGTTCCCATGGAGACCAAACCCGGGCGGGAGGAACAAAAGGCTCTTCAAGGTCATCAGAGCAAAGGAGAGACAGAGACGGAGTCAGAGACAGCGAACACCTGGGTGCCCTTCCTCCCCTTCTCGCCGAAGTATGCGCCCTCCATCAGCCCCCAAAGTCGGGCCCCCAGACTCTGGGGGTGCAGTGTGCGCAGTTGTGAGGAGTGGAACCCGAGCCTTCGGGAAAAGGGACAGCAGGGCAGCCCCCGCCCAGTGCCAGGCTCCGGGAGGCCTCCCCACCTCAGCCCTGCGTCCCGCCCGGGAAATGTGCCCCCCTGTGCTTTGGGGATGAATGACGGCCCCACGCGCCCTTCCCTCCTCCAGTGCCTCGTCTTCATGAGCAGCTTCGGGAAAAGGTCTCTGGGAGCCAGCGCTGCTGCTCTGAGGATCGGCGGCTCAGAGAGCAGTGTTGCAACAGGGCTGGGAGTTCCAGCCACCAGCCCCCACGCTCTGCGCCCCCCACCCGCGTGCTCCTCACCACACCTCCCTCTGCACCGCTTTTCCCATTAGCTCTTCTAGCTTAATATCCAGCTGTGAACTTGTCCTTCCTTCCCAAGGCACAGACTGTTTCTCAAGAAAAGAACTTCCCACCTTCCAGCACCAGGATTCAGAGGAGGCTGACTGGCCCCAGGAGCTGTTCATGGGGCTGTACACCCCCAGCCCTGTGCAGCCCCAAGTGCCCACAGGTCACCAAACCTCGAGGGCCCTGCCCCTGGGTCCTGGCAAGGCTGGGAGTCAAGTACAGACCTCAGAGACAGAGTGACTTCCATGAGAACAGAGTTCTCCCGTGGTGAACGGCAAGCACAAGTTCAGGGGTCTCCTCTGGTTTTCACTGGACCGAAACTGAGCTGGGCTTCTCTCCAGTCCAGAAGGGGCACCTGGGCGCTGCCCCTGGCAAGGCTTCACCTCCTTCTCCTTGGACCCACAAGGGAGAAGGCTCTCCACCCGGCGTGGAAGAGCAGCGCTGGGCTGCAGCCCCACGCCTCAGAGATGGTCCTGCAGACTCAAACTGGAAGTCCTTTGTGATGAAGGCCATGTGATTGGGGGATGGCTCAGGTCTGGGTGGCAGCATTGGGAGCCCAGCTGGTAACGAGCCAGGGGACTTTAGGAAGACAAGTCCTCTGCTTCCACACAGGCAAAGTGTGGCCCACCATGCCTCTGTAAGGCTTTCTCCAGCAGCAGCAGTTCTGACTCCGCAGGGAGTCCTATTCGTGATTGACACTCACTGATGCCTCGGGCCAGGTGGAGCGCTGAGAGCTGCCCGCCAGAAGGGAACTCCCTGCACCTCCGCCAGGAGACTGAGAGCCACAGGAGGCGGGGGCGGGCAGGGGCTGCAGGCTCGCTGGACCAAGGAGGGCTGTGACAGCTTTTGGCTTGTTTTCCCGGGTTCAGTCCCGCTGACAAGCCACCGCAGGCGAGCAGCCCAGAGTCGCGGCTGGGGAGGTGAGACAGGACGTCAGTCCCCACAGTCTGGCTTCAGACTCCATACTCCTCTCAGGGAAGAGGCCCGGAAAGTCCCTGAGAATTCTAGAAAAGGTGCGCCCCGTCATTAGCCTGGGTCCCACTAGAAACAGACAGCCCTTCAAACAGGGTAACCGACAGAGTCCGATAGAAGGGCCCTGCCCGCAGTTCCAGTCTCTGGAACTGGAAGGTCAAGGCAAGCGAAGGGGACTCGAAGTCACGAGACCAGAGGCTGGGGAAGCCCACTGGCCAGGAGCAGTGGCCTCTGTCACTGATGCAGCTGCCCAGCCCAGCACGCCCAGCTGTCTCATCCTTTGTCACCTTTTGATTGGCAGCCCTTCCAGTGGCCGAACAGCACCCGCCCCCTCCCCCCCCCCACACACAGGTGGGCAGCCAGTGTCAGGGGCTCAGATGGGGAGCAGGGCGAGCAGAGCTGGAGGGACACATGGAGGCATGGCGTGCAGGAGGCCGCTGCTCCCCTGCAGGGCATCCCCAGTCAGGCCACCCCCCCAGGATGCTTCTCCTGGGGGGGCATCCAGCCTGGGCCTGGCACCCTGCGCCACTCCAGGTACAAGAGAAGCGGAGCTTTCGGCCGGCCGGCCGGCCAGCACCGAGAGGTGGCCGGGTAGAGTCCCAGGGAGCTGGGGGCAGCCCCCAGCTATGGAGACGATTCCCCTTCGGAGAAGACGCCCGCCCTGGCCGGTGTCTCCATGGGTTGCAGCATCGTCCCGTGCGCCAAGGGTCACAGATTCCACTCCTGGTCAGTATATGTCTGGGAGGCAACCAATGGACGTTCCTCTCTCAGTTCAGTGTCTCTCTGCCTCCCCGCCTTCCTCTCTAAGATCAATAAATATATCCACAGGTGAAGATTTAAAAAAAGAAGAGAGAAAGGATCTCAACAGTGCCCTTGTTCCTGACCCCAGGGCTAGACATGCACCTGGAAGTCAGGGGTCACTGACAAAAAGAGACATACTCTGGGCCTGGAAAGCAGCATCTGTCCCTGCCCCTAGGGCCTGCTTTCCTGTCCTGTCACAGGGGAGGACCTGACAGGACACTGTCCTGGGCTGAAGGGGGAGGGCAAGACACAGCCACCCTCTCCACCTCTCACTGTCCTGGCCCCTCTGCCCAGGACTTCTGCAGCCTCTGTCCCTGTCCTCCGCACTCCTCTGGGTGGCCCTCCTCAGCCCAAGAAGGTGGCCCTCCTTTGCCTCTCCAGCCTCCCCCACTCCACCCTCCCCACTGCCTGGGGCCCCTGGCTGCTCCCTCCCTCCCGGGAGCCCTGGCCGCCCAGGCCTGTGGGAGGAGTGCCAGTGGGAACCAGTGCCTCCACGGAGAGCCTCCCTCTGGACACTGACGCCTGAGTGTCCATGACCTCCAGAGGCCACCGGGGGTGGGGGCAGCCCTGTAGGCCGGGTGCTGAGAGAACAGAGGCCAGCAGAGGCCCCCCAGGTCCTCGGAGGCCGGAGACGGGATACGCGTTCCAGGCCAGCAGGCCAGAGCCGCGACTGACAGGACCGCGCACCTCGGTTGAAAGGAACGTGGGGATCATCGTTTCCTCCCCTCCCACACTTACCCGCACACCCAATTCGGGGAGCATGGAGTTCAGCGTGTGCTTTCTTCAAACCCTCCCTGAAACCTAAGGAAGTTCTCTCTCGACTGGATTAAGAAACAGCCAAACCTGGAGGGTCTGCCCACTGGCACACACTGGGAAAATGTGAGAGGAGTGGGGCTCCGTGCCAGGGCAGAGTTCAAAGGGCATGTTCTTTCCCTGGGGGGCTCCCTCTCCCACCTGTTTTGGGGAGGCCCTGTAGCCCCCCACAGCCCAGGGCTGTGGAAGCTCAGCGATGGGCAAGTGCAGCCCCGGAGAGCTGTCCCGGGTCTGCAGGGGAGAGGTCGGGCGCGAAGAACTGGAGCTGGCACCTCTGTCACATCTTCCAGCTGCTGAAAGTGAGAGCCCCCAAGTTCATTTCTGTCCATCCGGGTCTCTGCCTGGTGCTTTGCCAGGTGTCGGCTAGTACAGGTTCAGTGACGCACCCCGGGGGACCACCCGTCCATGCGAGTCTTCGGAGTCAGGACCCACCCTCACCCCGCACCGTCTGGGTCTCTCAGAGGGGCCACTATGACCCACCTGAATTCAAGGCCATCGGTTGGGAGACCTGAGTGGCCCCGGAGCTCGATGCCTCCGTGCGATGCCCCGACAGCTGCTGCTGTTGGAGGATTGAGCAGTTTCTCCCACGGCTGCACGAGAAGCGTGTCCAGCGCACACCCTGCTTAACGATCAGAGTCCATGCCACGGCAGGCTTCATTCTCCTCCTATTCCTGTTGGAAAAGTGGGGTAACTGCGTGCAGAAGGGGTCCCAGCTGAGTCTGGCACGGAAGTGAGGCCGCCCAAAGCCAGCGGCCAGCAGGAGCATGTAATTTGAGGAGGGAGAACACCAGTTGTACCTTGAGGGTGAGGGGCCGTGGGAGGTCCATTTAGGCTGGTTCAGAAAGAAGCTCGAGTAAAGCTTGGAGCTCAGTAGAAAGTTCTGAGCACAGGATATAAATGGGGGGCGGGGGGAATCCTTGGCACACGTGAGGTTTCCCAGGAAGAATGTGAGAGCCGAGAAAGGAGCCAGGACAAGCTTTGGAGGGAGGGAAATAGGAAAGGGCCGGGGAGGGGCGGGGAGAAGGTGTCCGGGAACAGAGCTCATTATTGCAGAAAGTATGTCCGTCTGTCCATTTTAGATAAATTTAAATTTTAACAAGACGATGTTTTGGTGGGTCGTGATTGGTAAGAACAGTTCTGTGTAAGTACCATCCCAGGCACTCAATCGTCAAAATAGGGTGAATACAACAACCACATTTACATGCTCCTGTAGGAGCAGAAGAGGGAGGGGCCCGAGGTAGGTGGGAGAGAAGATCTCTACATCTGTGAGACTCAAGCGGTCAGCCCCGCACACTGAGAAAGCAAAAATTCTTCCAGCAAAACCGACTTCGGTGAGAATTATCACTAGCCAGTTATTTCAGGTATGAGTGCAAGAAAAATCAAAAAGGTGTTTTGAAAGGACCAGTGGAAACTGTTTTTTATACCTCATATTTGAATGGGAACAGGAAGGATATTAAGTGTTTCTTGGTTGGGAACAAAATGGATTTTCCCCTTTGCTTCTTCTCTATGTGTACGTTGTTGCTAATAATTTATGAAGTATTTTCCATTTTCCATTCAGTTCCCCCAAGGAAGTGTTCCCCTATGACTGCACCTTAAGGAAAATAAGAGCTTTCCTGGCTGCTGCGGCTCAGCTGGCTGGAGAGCCGGCCCGTTAGTGGAAGGTGGTGGGTTCGGTTTATGGTCCAGGTGTGTACGGGAGGCAACCAATCAGTGTTTCTCTCTCACACTGACGTTTCTCTCTCTAAAAGCAATGAAAAAAAAAACGTCCTCAGGTGAGGATAAAAACTACATGTAAGAACTTACACTGTGTTACCAGGCCCCAGAATTTGTTCTAAGTGTTTTACTGATTTCTACCCATTCGTTCAGTACAGGCATGTTATAAAGTAGGTACTGTTACCTTATTTTACAGAAAAGCAAAAGAGTGATACGGTAGGGAGGTCAAATGACTTAACCAAGGTCACCGAACTCGGAAGATGTCACACCCAGAAGCTCTGACTCCTGCTGTTACTTTATGACACTTTCAGTTCGTTTGTCCTACTGGCTGTTAACACATGAAGCTGCTCCGAATACACGGGTGCATTTGGTTTTCTCAGAAGAAGCCCACCACAGTCACGGCCACGGACTGCCCAGGGGGCTGTGATAAAAAATCAGTGAAGCAGAATGACTCATAAATGTTCTTTCCTGCTATTAGGCTCTGTAATATATGTGCATTTCATTACACGATCTCATGCATATGTATCGGCGCAGATGATTTTTACCTGTCTGGTTCAGCTAGATTATGAATTCTCAGCGGCCAAGTGCGCTCTTCCAACACAGGGAGCTCTGGCGCGGGGCGGTAACGCGGGCCAGTGATGCATTTTTAATGGATGAGTCAGGTAACAACACGGAGCTCGAAAAAGCTTCTTTCAGTTGCAAAAATATTTTCAGTTATTTTCCAAGTGGCCCGAGTTGGGAAGTCTAAATCTAAAATAAGTTTTAGAGATTCATACTCCTTTCTCCTTTAGAAGTTATTTTAAATACATTTGTATAATTTCAAAGGAAATGTATCCATATAGACACAGTTCATTTTGAAAGAACTCTGTGAGATCCATAGTATTGAGTGCTTTTTTTAAAAAAAATTACAGAACAAAATTTCTCGCCTGAGCCAATCTCTGAGCCACCGGGCTGCCACTGAAGGCTGATTGTTGCTCAAAGTCACCTCCCAAATTTTGTGCCCATGTACTGAATGCCTCTCTCACTCTCTCCTCTCCACTCCCCCCTCTCTCGTCCCCTCCCCCCTTCTCTCTCTCTCTCTCCCCACCCCAAATACAGCTTCAGCCTCCTGGACAATATCTGATGTTAAGTGGTAAAGAATAGATGGCGGCAGTCACAGCCCCTGTGATGGAGATTCTGAGAACATTTCTGTTCCTGCTTATGGAGAATTCAGTGATTTAGAGCAACCCTCCCCCTGAGAACAAATATCAAAGGTAGGTAAATATTTTTCCCTGGCTGGTGTGGCTCAATGGATTGAGTGCAGCCTGTGAACCACAGGGTCGCCAGTTCAATTCCCAGCCAGGGCACATGCCTGGGTTGTGGGCCAGGTCCCCAGCTGGGGACGTGTGAGAGGAAATCAATGAATGTATCTTTCACACATTGATGTTTCTTGCCCTTCCTTCCCCTCTCTCTAAAAATAAATAAATAAAATCTAAAAAAAATGTAGGTAAATATTTTGAAGCTGTTCTCGAAGGCATCCTTAGATCTTATGAGGGAGCCAACAAGACCCCAAGGAATCCCTGGGAAAGCCCCCCTTCCCTTCCCACGCCCTGTTCTCTCCTCACCCGCCTTCCTCGGGAAGGCCCGCTCACCCCCAGTAGGCACCCTCACTCTCTCCCGCAGAGGACCTCCTGACTCCCAACCTCGTGGAGGTGCCTTCGAAGAGTCCTCAGACCTTTCTCCCAACTTCTGGATTTTAATATCTTCTCTCAACATTCCTAATGCACTAGACTCTTAATTCTCAAACTGTAGTCTGCCTCGGCACCCTCCTGTGCAGACGGGGCTTCCTCCTTCAGAGCAACAATGGGGGTCAGAAGACCATGGAAAGATAATGACAGCCGGCCTATACACGGTGCATGCCCTTCAAAAATGACGTTGAAATAGAGACCTCTTCAAATAAACAAAAACTAAGATAATTAATTAATAGCAGATCCACACTAAAGAAAATACTACAAGGAGTTACTGAGACAGGAGGACATGACCCTACACTGAATTTTGAAGATATAATAAGGAATGAAGACCAATGAAAATGATAAATATATGAGTAAATCTAAAAAAATATATGAACATTGATTTATAAAAATATGGCATTGATTAACTTAGGGAAAAGGATATTTTTCTTTTTTAAAAGATTTTATTGTTTATTTTCAGAGAAAGAGAGGGAGAGAAACATCGCTGTGTGGTTGCCTCTCATGTGCCCCCTACTGGGGACCTGGCCTGCAACCCAGGCATGTGCCCTCACTGGGAATCAAACCAGCAACCCTTTGTTTTGCAGGCCAGTGCTCAATCCACTGAGCCACACCAGTCAGGGCAGAAAAGGATATTTTTTCAATAATTGTTGTTATACAATTACATATCCATATAAAAATATTAAACTTGACCCCCATCTCATACCTGATATGAAAAAAATCAAACCCAGGTGGATTGTGGATAAGAGTATAAAAATAAAACCATAAAGCTTCTATATTCATGGCCTTCGGGTAAGGAATGACTTTCAAGCAGGACATAAAATTCACCCAATCACAAATGAAAAAAACTGATAAATCCGACTACACTGAAATTTAAACTTTTTCGTCCCAAGGATCACTGGAGGAGTGAAAATCTAGCTGGGCCGCAAGACCAGCCTGTGGGTCTGCCTACAAGCTCCACTCAGGAAGGGAGACTCTGTGGGCTGTGTCCTAGTCCAAACCCTTGAGAACCGCAGGGAAGGTGGGAGGCTTAGGTCAGGGCCACTGTTCGGTATCTCAGTTGCTCAGTTGCACTGGATTCTCCAGTGTCCGAGGCTTGGCCCAAGCCAAGATATGAAAAAGTTATTGAAAAAAGAAGCCAGGTGTGTTCAGGACTAGAGTAGGAATCCCCAAATTCCTTTCCAAGTGGGTACCTTTGGGGCTGTCGAGTGGGCAGGCACCGTGGACTAAGCTGACGTCCAGAGACCTCTTGCTCCTCCCCATCACAAGTCTCAAGAACACTTTCTTGGCTGGTTAGACTCTCCCTGCTTCCTTATATGCCATGGTTGTGGGCCCCCCAACTAAATGCATGGGTCTTTGTATTAATTTTCTACAGATGCTGTGACAAGATACCAAGAGCTTCATGGCTTAAAAAGCACAAAACTGCCTTGCAATTCTAAAGTTCAGAAGTCTGATGGGAGTCTCACTGGGCTGGCTGAGTTGTCATCAGCGCCGCGGTCCTTTCTGAAGGCCTTCTTGCCTTCCCTGTCCAGCTTTAGGGGCTGCCCGCACCCCTGGCTCATGGCCCCCTTCCATCTCCAGGGCAGCAAGGGCAAGTTGGGTTTCTCACGTCGCCTCACCTGGCTCTTTCACCCAGCTTCCATCCTCACGTCTCTCCCTCTCCCTCCGCCTCTGTCTTCCACCGTGAGGGCTCTCACGGTTACATGGGCCCGCAGAGAAGCTCTCTCAGATCAGCTGGTCTGCAGCCTGAATCCTCCTTTGCCATGGCACCTAACATGTTCACATGTTCTGGGGGTTCGGGCGTGGCATCTTTGGGGGGCCATCCTTCTGCCTACTGCAGGGCTTCACTGGCTAGCCAGCCTTGCCCACGCAACACACCCTCTAATCAGTGTGTGTGTGGACTGCACACGTGTGGGCACCCCTGCCCACTTCATTCACATTTGAGTTGGTAGCCACTGACTGTCAGAAATATGGACATAGAGAAGCCAGACTTTAAATATTTTATACCATTTCCTTAAAATAGCAATAAACAATACCTGAGAATTTAGCAACATGAAATCATCCTTGGAATGAAAGCAAAGGCCCATCAGAGTACCTGGGAGAGATGGCGTTTTTATCAAAGTCCTGTGTGTCACTGTTAAATCTTACCCTTGTTTTTTCAGTGCTGGCTCCAAAAAAAGTCGCCCCTTCTGTCAGATCCCAGGATGTGCTTCCAGGTCACTGCCCTTAAACTGCTCTTGGAAAACTGAGGCGAAAAGAGATAAGGAAGCAGCAGCCCATTGAACCTCATCTAGGGGCTAAGGTGAACCTTTCCATAAACAGACAGCTTGAGATAAGAAACTGTGTGTCAACAGCGCCATCTGGTGGATTCTTCAAAGTAGGCTATTTTCTATGCAGTCAGCCGTCAAGTCTCCTGTGGTTACAAATGCCAGCCCTTTTCACGTAGGGCTGAGAGTAGGCAAAATAACAAAGTTTTCTGAAGTTATTGTTCCCATGACCTCTTTCTTTTTCTTTTATTTTTTTCAAATACAGCTTACATCCAGTATTATTCTGTGCTAGTTTCAGATGTACAGCGTGGCGGTTAGACTGGCACCCACCGGGCCCCACACACAGCCATCAGAATGTTACTGACTCGTTCCTGCGCTGCAGTGCATCTCTCTGTGACTGTTCCGTAACTGCCAGTTTGTACTTCTTAATTCCTCAGCCTTTCCATCCAGTCCCCTACTCTTTCTCAAATAGAATTCATTCATTCATTCATTCATTCATTCTTCATTCAACGACCTATTGGGGAGCCCATCCTGTGCCAAGCTCTCACAGAGCTTACACAGTCATGAAGAAACAGAGACAACTAACCCGTAAACCAACGAGTAGAAGTAACTTGGGGTGGTGTGATTCGCAAAGAGGGAGATGGGATCTCGGGGCTCCCTCAGACCGGACCCCCAAGGGAGGCTGCTGCGCTGAGAGTGTCATGAAGAGGCTGGAAGGCCATTTGGGGCAGAGACAACAGTTTGAACACGGAACCTGGGACAGAAACCGGTTTGCTATGGGAGTAAAAGAAAAGACCGCTGTTGCCTGAACCATAACAAGAGAGAGGGAGAGCAGGGCTCAGGAGTTTGGGACTGACTTTCAGTGCTTCTTGGTAGCGTTTGGAGGGGGCAGGTGCGGAGAGGGCAGAAGAGCACCCTGGGGAGAACAGTACACGCAGCAGCAGCAGCAGCAGCAGCACAGGCGGCTCCCAAAGGACCTGCAGGTGGCACAGGCCACCGGTCCTTAGGATTTTACAAACACAGCACAACCTTAGGTGGGAGGAACATCAAGGTCTAGTCCAATGACACATCTAACGATTCAACCCCTTCTGCAATATCCTGGCTCCATATTATCCATTCTGGATGCTTCAACCATTAGGATCCGTCAGGACAAGTCCAAATCCTTTTCTTCTGAGAGTGCTGCGTGCACCGAGGCAGCCTCTCAGGCTCATTGCCCCTTCCCAGGCTCCCTCTTCACTGCTGTGCGGGTAACAGATCAGCTACGTTGCTGAAGTGCTCAGGACGAGCCAGAGCAGGTGACCAGGTACCTTCCTAGGTGGCGAGGAGGTCTTCGGACAAGAGTCACATTTTCTAAGACAGGGGACCGAAGAGGTCCATCTCTGTCAGGCGGAAACATCCCAGAAAGCCCAAGGAATTACCTTAGAGGAGGAGAGTGAGGGTATCAGAATGCTCTCCTGGGATGTTTATTTGTTACTACTGTAGCGAAATATTTTTATAGTCCGACATTAGATGCTGTTGCCTAGCCCCTAGGAAGCTATGCCTCCATGTTTTATTTATTTATTTATTTTTCTTAAGAGAAGGGTTGTAAAAATCAAAGAAGTCACAACAGCCTTTGGCAGGTTAAAAATCATAAATGCTGGTAGGCTGAGAGCCCCTTCTCACCACGATCACCGTAGGAACACCTGCTGAGTGCTGTCCCCAGGACTGGGACCAGGACCAGGACCGCAGAGGGAAGGTGTGGCCAGGCACCGGGGAAGGTCTGAGGCCTCTGGGCTCTTGGAGCCCCGGTCACTTTGCCCTGCAGGGTCAGCCGCAGCAGCGGTGCGATCATTCCCCACACTTACACTTGTTTGTCCCCTTTAACACTCCTGTAACTTAGAGAAGTAGGTCATTCAGGGTCATTCATGTTCCCTACATTCTGCGTCCCCTGGGTACGTAGATTACCACACAAGTTTGTTGAAAACTGCCCAGGCCTTGCCCTGACCACTGCGGTCAGTGGGCGTGTCCCCAACCTGAAGTTGCCGGTTCCATCAGATGGTTCTCTCACACATCCATGTCTCTCTCGTTCTCCCTCCCTTCCCTTTTCTCTAAAAATAAATAAATAAAATCTTTGAAAAAGAACAGTATCCAAGTCTCCATTTTTCCTTCTCTGGAAGAAAAGGGTGCCTCTCAGGCCCACACCCTAAAATGCTTTGCAGGGTGAATTTGAGGGCGGGACATCCAGAACGTCCGCATTTCCTTCCTCCATCACTATTTCCCAGACACCTTTCGGAACTGACCTCCTTTGGAAAGATTCCGGCAGTGCATTAGTGAACCACCCACCCACCAACACCTGCCGTCCAAACGCACTGGTAACAAAGACAGCAGACCAAGCAAGTGGTGCCGATTCGTTCTTGCCCCCAAAGAAAGAGAACTGGCTGCCGGCTCTGTCCCAGCGCCAGAACAAAGGGTCCCCAGCCCCATCTCCATCGCATCGCCCTGGACAACAGACCCACAGTCCCCGCCGCCCACGAACAGTGGAGCACGCACAGTGGGCTCCAGCACTGTTCCTGGTGCAAGGGCGCACCGGGAACAAGGCGCAGTGTGCGTCCTCTTGGAACTCACATCCTAGAGACAGGGACACGCCACCTGTGACGTAGGGAGGCAGAGGGAGAGGGTGCAGAGTAAACAGAGGAGCTGCTTCAGACGGGGCGAGGGGCAGGGAGGTGTCCAGGGAAGTGTTTACTAAGCTGTTGGACAAACTCTGAGAGTGAGGGAGCAGCCAGGTGAAGAGTGGGAAGGCGAGTGCTGTGGGGGGGACTGTCAGGCAGTGTGACAGCTAGATGGACGTGCAGTTGGCGCATTTATGGGAGAATGACACCAGTGGGGCCAGAGTGACAGGGCAGGGGACCCTGGTGTGTTTGACGCCCGCGGCCCTCCTGGAGCCTGCCTCCATTTCCCCGTGAGGGGGGCAAGGCGCCCCAGAAGCCTCTCTTCAGTCCGTGGTCTGGCGGGTCTGGGGCAGGGCCAGCTTCTTGCCGCCACTGTGGGACGCCCAAAAGTGACCCCTCCCCAGGCGTGACACTGCCAGGCCTACACTGCCCCCCTCTCTTTTTGTCCAAAAAAACTGTTTGTTATTCCTTGACCTTGTCTCAGGGGCTCAAGCAGTTCCCCCCAGGCCACGCTGTGGTCGTCAGGACTTACCGTAAGTGGAAGAATCTGCGAACAGAGCTTGGTGCACTTTGGCCGTGAGCGCTGCCCTCCGAGGCCCAGGGCCGCGCTCCTTCCCGCACACGGATGGCCACTGCGCCTAAAGCGCTGCCTGCCCTGCGGTGGGGCAGGGCCTCCATCCGGTACATTCTATCCCAGGAGCGTGAGTTTCACATGATGTAGCTCACAGCATGGGGACTGCTGCGCAGGAGCTTCATCAGGCCTGCTGGAGCAGGAAATACATCGTGTGTGTGTGTGTGTGTGTGTGTGTGTGTGTGTCCACGCACGGACTTGGATGAGACTCTGATGTCACTGCAGCAGAGACCTAGGCCGTACTGATGGGGAGGAGTTGAATGGTGTCCGTCCTGCTCCTGTTTCAGGGGTTAGGGGTCTCTGAAGACCCACTTTGGGCCGCAGCAGAGCAGGCGGGAAAAACCGAGTCAGAGCCTGGGCCTGAATCCCATTTACCCTCAGAGATATGAACTCAAGACCATTTCTAGGCCTCAGTTTCTTTATCTGTAAAGCAGCAATAAAAGTAATAATGCTACTTTGCATAACTGTTAGGAAGACTGCGTTCACATTAAGTATGTCAAACATTTCGAATAGCCTGGTCTCTGGTAACTGGCCCATCAATGAGTAAATATTGTTTGTTTCTATCAACAAAATAACCTCACTCTCTTCTCCGGATAGGCATTTTTGCTTTAACAGAGCTTATACCAGGAAAAACGTGCTTGTGTTCAAGAATACTGGAAGGCCCCTATGAGTTACTGTAAGTTTTACCATTCAGAGATGGAGAGGCAACGTCATCTCTCCTTAGTACCACTTGTGAAATGCCACGCCTCTGCCCCCTGCCAGTCTTGTGCAGCAACGCAGAGCGACGCCCAGGGTGCCACGAGCAGCTGGGCTGATCCGAGAGGGCGGACTGCAGGCGGCCACTTCATTAGCAGAGACCGCACATCTCCCAGAGGCTCCCGAGTGCACTCCCCTGAGCCGAGAAGTCACCCAGTTCAGTGGGATGAAAGGGAGACCACCGGCCTCCATAGGAATGCAGACGTTCAGGAGCCAGCGAGTGCTATCCGCACAAAGGTTTCCACTGAAAAACTGCAGACTATTATGAGAAAGCAAGGGCTTCCCGCCACGGCACAGGCTCCGCGTTTTCCTGGGAAGTTTCATTTTAACCACTAAATCACCCCTCGCGTCTCTGCCTGCCAAGGCTTCTCTTCCTGCAAAATATGTCAACTTCGCGAAACTCCTTTTTCAGACAGTTTTACCCAACTGATTACATTCTTAATGATATAACTGAATAAGCATAATAGAACCCTTTTTCTTCAACTGCTGTGCGGTCTTGCACCAAAGTAAAAGTCCTGGATAATGTTTATTGGGTACTTGCTCTCCTGCTAAGCCCCTTTAGAAACAGATATTATCTAATGTAGTCCTCCAAACAATGCTAAGCAGCCAGTACTATTATTATTCTAATTTTACAGATGGAAAAGCCATGTCTAAGAAAGAGGTTTGAAAATAGTGTCAAAAGGGTCTACTCTTTTAGTAAGGGTTTTAGAATTAGTAAGTAGCAGTTCAAATTCAACTACCCAATATTAAAGACCTCTTAAAAAAAGATTTTATTCATTTATTTTTAGAGCAGGGGAAGGGAGGGAGAAAAACATCAATGTGTGGTTGCTTCTCTTACATCCCCCACTGGTGACCTGGCCCACAATCCAGGCATGTGCCCTGACTGAGAATCCAACCAGTGACCCTTTAGTTTGCAGGCCAGCACTCAATCCACCGAGCCACACCAGCCAAGTAAAGCCCTCTTTTATCAGAGCACAAACTTGGGTCCCATGCACTTGGGTATGGACTTGGGCTCTAGCACAGTGGCCCAGACTTGACCCTCTGGGCAGCATGGCCTCACCAACAGGTTATGAGAACCACTTAAATGAATTCGTCAGTGGGAAATGTTTGCAATGGTGACTGGCACCAGAGCACAGCAAGCCGTTGCCAGCAGTTATCGGTAGCTGGTAAAAACACTACTGTACTGTCGTCTGCAATTCAGAATACTTAAAACTAAAGTCCAATAAGCTAATTACATGCCTGCAGTTCTTGTAAAGGTTCCAGTGAGAAAGGAGGCATGTCACGGGGGCTAAGAGCTATTTCTGTTTCCCATGGATACAGTATTTAAAATATTGGGTTGGCCGGGAAGTCCACTTAGTATTTTTTTTGTAAAATAAAAGACACAGTTTTCATTTTCACCAATAACTTCATCGATTTGGATATTTTGAGTATATTGGCTATCTCCTGCTATTGGCTTCTAGTGGGTAGAGGCCAGAGGTGCTGCTCAAAACATCTTCCAGTGCAAAAGCCAGCCCCACGGCAAAGAATTATTTGGCCAAAATGTCAATAGTGCCAAGAAACTTCACAAACCATTTTTGACACTTCTGATCAGTCACAGCACCTTCTCCACACACTGCACAAATCTTTGTTGTTGTTGCATTTCAGCTGTGGTTTTACCTGCCTTGAAATGATAAAGCATAATACACCAAAAATGTTGCATATCTTCTTCCATCTTCCATATTAAAGTGGTTGCACAAAAGTTCACCACTTTTGATTTTTTTAATGCAATATGACAGCTATCACAATATAATCTGACAAAATTGTTTTGAAGGAAGTTGAAGACAACTAAGCAGTACTAGAGCCATCTATCAGAAAACAACTGAATGAACTTTTTGGCCAACCCAATAGTTGACTGCCTGAGTAGTAAATATGCATCAACTACACTTCCTAAGTAGCCTAAACATCTCATACCTGAAAGACTTAACGATGTAAGTATATATTTGGAGTCAATAGCATAGACAGAGGTCAGTATATTTTCTTACATTTTAGGGAATGTTGAATTGTTTTGTTTTTTTTTTATATTGAGCTCATCAGCTCAGTTAGTCCTAATTTCTATCATTTTAAATAATCTGGGCTTTTAAATGAATCTGGGCTGAATATTTAAACACTGGAGGCAGAGAAATTAATAAATTTCTGTGCTAGTATCACTACAGTGATGCGGAACCAAGGTACAAATGAGGAAAAATGGTTCAGTGAACTAGCGACAGTTTTGTTTCCCTTTGAGAGAAGCCTATGAAATACGTGGTCTAGATCAGGGTTTCTCGACTATGTCCACCCAAATCACACGCGGTGGCTGTGGAAACTCTGGATCACCGAGCCCAGTCCCAGACCCACTGATGCAGACTGTTCCGTGGCTGCTCAGGTATCTCATGTTTATCCAACTCTCTGGGTGCTTTATGTGGATTCTAAGTGTGAGAACTGCTTGCCCTGTTTAAAATGTGAACCGATGGCTGAAACACCTCAGGCTGGTATTCAAAATGTTTTTAGGGCACTAAGTGAATGGCGCAATGACCGATGAAGCCATATGTGTGCATGACACTCTTCTTCCCACTAGAGTTGTGTGGATGCTCAACGTGAAAACTTCGCAGTCACTAATGTGGAAAAGGCCATTGTGTCTCATTACACGGCTTCCTCAAAAAATGTCAGGTGCAGGGAGAACTCCGAAGAGTCTGCCTCATTCTCCCTCCTAAACATCTTACTGGGTAATACTGCACCTTGTGAACTCCGCCACCCAGCTAGGAGAAGCTGTGTAAAGGAAAGAGATGGCAGGAAGTCCGATCTTCGCGAGTCCCGGTTCACAACTTTTGCTCACCACTTTGATGAGCTTATTTTTAATGTGTATTTAGAGGAAGAAGGGTTACAGGTAATTCACTGACAATAGCAAGAAGTGACAGAAGAAAGGAGAATAGAGGAAATTTTAAAAAGTAATGCAAGGACATAAAAGGACGGTGGTGGCTGATGTGGCACAGAAGCGACATTCCCGAGCTCCGCGTGTCCCCGAGGGCATCACTGGCACAGCAGTCTGTAGGTAGAAATGGACTTCTCCATGTCCTGACAGCGAAGTGTGTGGTTTGAAATACATTCTGGAAACATTTTAATTAAAATACTTAAAACTGAACCTCACAGTTTTCTTTAGGAGGAACACTCTCCGCTACGTGAGCAACACAGCCACTGAAGTCCTATTTCAGGGGGTTGCTGATGTTTTATTGTAACAGGGATCAGCACTACTTTAAAATGTGCCTTTTTGCATGGAACCCTTTTTTACAGAGGGTTAAAGTCCACCACAACGAGTGTATGGCACCAATTACTCCATGACACACCTTTTAAGAGGTGTGTATGCTCCCCAGTGTGAGGGCATTTGGTGATGAAATAGTTGGCATGGAAACGAGGCTCCCAGAAGATTAAGTAGAGGACAGTGCAAATGTCACACGCGTCTTTCCTTCGGTCCCACCTGAGGCGTTTCCAGAGGAACGCCTGTTTCGATCTGAACCTCTGCTCCTGGTCTGGAGCACGCCATGAGTGCAGAGAAGGCTGGCTCCCCAACGTCATGGGTACTGACCAGGCAGCTCCCCCTATTTCTGAAAAAAGAGAAACACTCTAATATTTCAGAATGAAGACGGGTGTGTGATTGATGACTTCCAGTAAGTACACTAGGATGTCAATAGCTTAATAGTGAAGTGTTGTTTTTTTTTTTCTTTCAACAAATCCTGGTTGATATCGCAGTTTCTCCTTGAGAACTTGGCACAGAAATACACTCCAGAGGCCCTCAGGCAGCTGGGTCACTCGCAGCCCTCACCTAACTGAAACCCTTTATCCGGGTCTGCACCTCATCCGGGCACTTGTCTGCAGGAAACACTTGACCTGGGGTTGCCACAAACCAGCTAGCCACCACAGGTGACCAAGTGTAAGCTGGTTTTCCCTGGTCACCACACTCTGATAAGTACACAGGCGGTCGAAGATGCTCTGTGGGAACCCTCAGAAATAGGATTATGATTCAAGACCCCCGTATGGAAAACCCAGAGCTGGGAGAAGCCAACCCTCTCCCAGGGACCACGGGCTCTGGGCAGGTGGTGGCAGCAGGGCCTGTGTGGCCTCGGGCAGCCCAAGGGTGGCAGGTCTGCACAGTGGCTTCCCAGTGAGATCAGGAGGCCCCTGCTGTTCTAAGATACCATGTGGCCTGGGGACAATTTGGCCAGGAGGAATCTCTGCCAAACAGATATAAACAGGAGATACTGAACCCCTTCTGTCAAATCACACACTGTTCGGAATAATAATCGGGGCCTTTGGTCTGAATATCCCCAGTCAACCACTCCGTCTACTTTGTTATAATTCATATGAGGTTATAAAGGAAACACACAGAGAAGGCTGCTTTAACCTGAAATGGTTTTGATATTTGAATTGCTTTCAGTGGGACATTCGCTTTAAATCACAGAATTCTCCATCTGGATTATCAGAGTACAAAATCCCTTCTCCACCCCCCCCCCCAACCAAAACAAGAAAACAAACAAAACCCCAAACCCACAACTCAGTTTCAAATAAGTTTAAAGAAATGAGACTCTAAATATTTACATATGAATCAAGAAATAAATCACAAAACTATTTACAAAAATACACAAGTGTATATGCAAACAATTTACACGAGTTCACAAAAAATATTAGAACATAAAAAAACACTATAAATTAAAATTTAAAACTCAGAAGTGTGGTCTAAGACATCCGAGGATGCTTCTCTCATGCAGGCCATGGCTGAAAAATCAGGTTTTTGCTACCTTAGAATCTAGACGGCAACACAACCATGTAAAAATTTCACACTAACAGCACTAATCAGAAAGGAGAGAGAGCCCGTGCACGGACACGCTCCTGCAGGGTCAGAACAGGCCATCGCGACACTCCCGTCACACACAGTCCTGGCGACCACATGCCTCCGACCATCCGGAAGTCGCTTTTTCTCATGCGCTTCTGCTCTCGTTAGCGTGCCCTCACGCACTGCTCAGAACCAGTGCCAGGACACCGGGCGGGCAGTGGCAGGGCCGGGATGGACACCGGGGCTTCGCTGGTCCCTTCGTTGACTAAAGGGGCACATTTCACATTTACGTTGCCTGTGTTACTGCTGCTTCGAACGTGCGAGCCCGCTCCCCGCCTCCACTCACACCAATGGTCCCTCTTCCGTACAGAATTAGTCCTGGAATTTTTCAACCTGACCTAACGGTTAAAAACACTGTCACTGTGCAATGTGCAGGCCCATCCTTGGAACCACCCAGGGTCTGCGTGGGAAAAGGAAATGGAATACGGTGAGCAAAAGGCTCAGACGAAATGCAGTCACGAGAAACGGCACCTCTTGGGGCTATTAGCAAAATCTCTGGCCAGACATCCGGGAATGTTTATGTCAATCACACCGCACTGTAGCATCAGAATTTTGCCAAAGAAAAAAGTCTGGAGACATGAATATGAAAATACCAGTAGAATTATGGGTTTAATGCATAAGGCAGCTCCATGTGCTGGACCATAGTGCTCCATGGCAGAATTTGAAAGCAATCATCTTTCATTACTCTATTTGTGAACTATGCTGAGGTAACCTGGCTCACAGTGATTCGCCATCCAAGTTCTACCTACAGTATTAGGAAGGGGAAGATATAGGCAAAGTCCTTCAAATAACAAACCCCCACGATAAGGCTGTATCCACACACGTGGAGTGAAACACCTCTAGATTTTACCTAAAGTTTGTGTTTCACACTCAGACTAGTATATCTGGTCATTATCCTATAATCAAAATATTTACCTGATATTTCTAGGCCCATAGGACACTGATCAAGTACTTGTTTTGAGGAATGAACCTGGGTGTTTATAGAACGGACTTCAGTTTCAGGAGTCGGTGTGTGTGACGACAGACCCACGGATGTCAAGGTTAGACAGGCCTTCTTCGGCCACGTCCTCTGGACCCTCACATCCTTTTAAGTTCCTTTTCTTTTTCATGGGAGAAAAATACTGCTTAGGAGAACGAACGGCGTGAAATGTTTCACTAGGATTGCAAGGTACTGATACTGAGAAAAAACACTGTTACTAAAGCCATCTGTACGTCCTTGTCACATGAGCCCTTTCGAATGGCGGTGCTGCTGGTAGGAACTCACAGGGGCTGTGTGACCCCCAATCGGCAAGGGGCTGCCCTACTCGATAAAAGGATGGTTACGGTAACCAGGTAAAACCAGTGCCGTGTGCTCGCCGAAGCCCAGACTCCGGCGCACAGCAGCACCCAGTGGGAGCAGCCACTCGCGCTGTGACTACACACCAGCCGAATGTGCACCTGGAACGCAGAGGCCTACATTTCCACAGTGTTCTGGGACTTCTACCATGATCTTTATTGAATCCCTCGAATCCATTCTGGGGGAACAAAAGAAAACTTTATAGACTACCTTCACATATAAATGTGTTCTTAAAACTTTATTTCTTTTTCTAAATATAAATCCTTAAAATGCGATCACATTTGTTTAAGTTAAAAAAAAAAACTGGCATGACTCCTAATCTTTATACAAATTCACAGCAATAACAGCAGCATAAATTTAGCCTCTTAAAAGATTTCTTCCTTTGCTCTAAATAAAAGTTAATTCCAAGTTTAAAAAGCCAGAGCAGCGACCACCTGGTAAATGGAATGAGATTCCCCTAACATCTTCTATAAACCAAGCATTGGAAACATGTGGATGTATAAAAGTCAAGTATTATTAAAAGTCATGGAATGAAATGACCACCTAAACTTGTATAAAATGCAGGACTGCCTTGCTAGGTAGTCGGGCACACACGTTCCAGGGGGAGCTGAGAAATGGAATCGTGCTGGGCTAGAAGTGGCTAGGCCAACTCTCATTGGGAATGCAACTTTCTAAGGGAAGTTCTGGGTCCTGAGCATGCTTTCCACGTCTACAGTTATCAGAACTATACCTGAAATGCTGGTGTAGATGGCAGTCACAGTCAACTGTGATCAGAGAGGTCGTGAGCAAACAGCACACTAATTCCTTAGGACAGAAGAGCGGTGACTGCCCGAATTCCGACAGGTACAAGGGGGCTGTGTACTGAACGGTTATTGCAGTTTTACTAGCAGGTAGTACGCAGCGACTTTAAGAATACCCAGGAAACCTGGAGTTTGGTTTAGAGACCAAAGTTAACACGTAGATTTGTAATCGTGATAAACTATGTATTTATCTAGTCAAACCATGCTGGGTTTTTTAACGAAAAAAATTGCTTTAGGGAAACAAATAGTGTGAAATGTTTTAGTAGGGTTATAGTTTACCAATTACTAAGAGAAAAAATAACTGGAGGCAGGCAGCCCATTGAAAGCATTGCTCTAGTTCTCTGGTGCGAACAGTGTGTGCCGACTTTGCCTGCTGAGTCTTTCCTTCGCACTCTCCCCCCCCCACAGCGACCTGAGCCTACCCACTGAAGGGGAGGAACAGCCACAAAAATAAGGACGTGAAGAATATGGCTCAGCCTGGGTCTGAGCAGTTTAACGTTTTATGATGACTCTTTATTACATGCTTAGCCTTAATGCCTTAGTTTTTAACTACAATTTGCTGAATGTTCAATAGACTTATCTGAAGGACCAGGGAGAAGTCTTTCTCTGTTTTAATTTAATACAAAAGACAGGCAATAACGTGAGAAGAACCAAGTGTCAGTGTGGGAGAGTGACGTGGCTACTGAAAAAGTAGAAGGAAATGCAAAAGAAAATGCAAACGCCTCCCAGGAAATGGACACCATCTGTTTGGAACTGTACAGTGAATAGCGACAATGACAAAGTCAAATTCAAATGCTGGCAAAGGCAGTCCTCAGGCTCTTACAAATTAACTCTACATGGCAAGTATGCTCTGTGACACCTTTTTTTACTGTTCTCAACACAGTGCTTTACACTCATTCAGATCTCTCTTAACCACAAAAATGAGTCTATAGATGAAGAGGTGGTAATGAAACAGCAAGGGAAAACAGATAGTGATTTATTTTTCTTACTATTTTTTTTAATGTGGTCAGGGGACTTGTAGCTTTTTTCTTTCTTTCTTCTTCTTTTTTTTTAATCTTTTTGGTTACTGGAAAAAATAGAACAGTCCACTGTCCAGCAGAGGCTGCTTCGACTCTATTGCTCTCAGGGCTCATTCCGCATGGACCTGCGTTTCAGGGTGCTGCAAGGCCAGCTCTGTGGGCAGGAAGGCCCCCTGCCCCAAAGCTGTGGCGTAGGTTCTGTTCTGTGGGTGGGGAAAGCCAGCGGACAAATACGCCCCCATGGCTCCTCCTCCAAAGCCTCCTCGCTGGGGCTGAGGCGGAGAGTGGTAGCCCTCCAGGTTGTCATACTGCGACATGGCGGTCATGCCACTCTGGCGCTTGCCGTGTGCTTGGTACTGGAACAGCACCCCGGGGTCCCTCTCCATGTTCTGGGTGTGGTGCAGCTTCAGGCTATGACTCCTCTCCGGTTTAGGGGGCGGGGCTGTGGCCTGGCCGAGGTGCTCCTCCTCCTTGTAGCAGTCTCTGGAGTGTTTGTCTGAGGCCGGGGGCTGCCTCACCCGAGGCCTCTCCGGCTCTTTGGAGAGCCTCACCTCTTTGTGGTTCAGTCTTAGAGACTCCTGCCCTGCTGCAATATACTTCCCTCCAGAGTTATGGTAGCTGATGGGCTCAGAAGCGTCGGGAATCCCTTTGGACACATGATCTACCTGGCCAGCCCCCTGTGGGTGGGGCGGTCCGTTTTTGGACTCACACAGTTGCCTATGGCTTGCTTCCTGGTGCGCCCTGTGCTCGGGGAGACTGCAGCCCACGTCGTGGAGCTTCCTGTTCCTGAGACTGCTCTGCTTCTGCGGGAGGGACGGTCTCTCCGCCTGCCCGTTGCCATGTCCTCCGTGGTGATGGGCTCTGTCGAACTCTGCTTCCGGGTGCTTCCTATAGAAGCGCTCGCCTCCCTCGGGACTGAGGGCCTTGGCCGGCGGCCACCCCTCCTTCCCCTCGGCCACCGAGAGAAGTCCAGTTTTCCCAGGATCGGATTTACTGCGCAGGTGGATGACGTAGATCCCACCCATGTCATCCTGCAGGGCCGGGGCCATGTTGTCGTACTGGGACATGACGGGCCCTTTCACCTTCTGCCGAGCCCGGCTCTCTCTCCGGATGGACTGCATGCGGTATTTTTCCACGTCTTCAAAATCCCACGAGGTGTAAGTGTGCTTTATGTCAGCGCCTGGAGGCATGTTGACCACGTTTTGGTCGTTACCAGAGAAATAGCCAGTCGCGGTGGCCCGGGGACGCGGAGGCAAGCCTGCGAAGCTGTACACGTTCTTCCCCTGCAGCCGAGGGTTGTAGAAGGCAAACTCGCGGCCGGGCAGGCGGTGCAGGGGCCTCAGCTGCACCGTGCCGTAGGCGTCCACGTCGCACAGTGCCCCTTCGGGGCCGTAGTAGGAGCTGGAAGAACTGGAGTAGGGGCTATACCGGTAGTGGACCCGACCGTTCTCAAAGTAAGGCTGGAGCTGAGTCACGTGGTAATCCGAGCGGGCCTGGGAGGACTGATATGGCTTATATTGGTATAGGGGTCTGGAGCAATAGGCTGGTTCGTCATCTGGGGGCACTTCCGTCCGTGAGATGGGAACCGAACGAATCATGGTAGATGGGGCGGCATGGAGAGACTGCACCCTCCGGATGGTAGGGTACGGGGGAATATCTTCAGGGTAACAACCACTCCTAACAGACGAGCTCAATGAAGACACATACTCGACCCGGGTGCATGGCTTAGAGTGGTGTCCAGATGCACTTCTCCCTGGGGCCACGTATGTGTTATAACGAGGGCCCATGGAGGCTGGTGGCTCCGATCTGGACCCATACACTAGGTGTGGCTCCACTTTATTGTGATGCGGAGGCACACTCTGGGGACGGTACTGGCAGTTTGGAGTCATACTGAAATGCAAACAGTTTTCTGGACTGAAGGGTTCAGTGGTGGCATCAGGCCTGGCAAAGCTGGAGTAGGGAGTTTTCTGAGAAGCATGCTTAGGCTGTGGGACAGGAAGTGGCAAAGACAAAACATCCTCCACAGAGGCTGAGGGACCAGTGACAAAGGGATGGTAACTGGAACTGCCGGTCGTATCTGCACTGTTGGAGTGAATGGCAGCAGCAACCTTACTCTCCATTGTCCTGGTGGGGGGAACTGGGGCAGTGAAGCTGCAGGGGACGTGCACAGGGAGAGACTCAGTGCGCAGGTGCAGTGGCGGGGCCCTGGAACCTTCCCACACCTTTTCAGGCAGGCCTGGCTGGAGAGCGGGAGCAGGGACAGGACACGGAGCAGCTGTGCTGCCATCACCGACAAGGACGGGAGCAGAGTCCTCCATTGCTCTGGGTTCGGGTGGCCTCTCTGGAACTGGAATTACTCCTTGAACCTATTGAAAAATTGTAATATCATGAGCTTGTTTTCTGTGCTCCCCCCCGTGGACTCAAACACTATGACATTTGTAACTCACAAGTTGAGGCTATTGGGGTAGCAGCTTAAAATTCCCCCTGTGGTTGGTCACACTGCACTGGACAGTAGGCCCACCTGTCCCCACAGCTGGGAAATGGCCTGCGTGGCTACAGGGTGTAGCAGCCATCACCGTCTTGAGGACGGTTCTCATTTATGGTGGGTTTTACGTGTGTGATGAGGGTGCCCACAGCATTATCTAAACATGCAGGCCACACCAGAGGCTTCCTCAGAGAACTGTCGTGCAGTCTATCTGCCCAGCTCAGGCTCAGCGCCAGGGCCACTGTTCTCGACAAAAAGTGCTGGTTCTCCCCGGAGAGAGTTTCAAAGTGACACACAGCTGCACAGTGAGCAGTTTTAAGCCCCCAAGTCTAGAGAAGGGCCACATAAGTGACTCGTTTAAGGTGACATTCAACTCAGTCAGCCACTGTCTGTCTCCTGCCATCTACTCCACCCTGGTGTGTGGCAGCAGCAGCCGAACACTGTCTTCACAGCAACACTGCGAAGGTGCCATCCTTGAGAAGCAGCTGCTAGAAAGTGTCTTCCACTAAAGACAGATATCGAAGTACTTTTAGTTCAAGGTGACCAGAAAAACCTGGTGGTTTGTTAAAATACGAGAAAGTTAGGAAACAACCTTAGCCCTCTGCCTATAACACTCTCATCAAAACAGGTGCTTGATGACTCTGCCAGTTAGTGTTGAGAAAATAATAGAAAGTCCTATGACCTCACACTTCCAACCAGTGTGCAGGGTGGAGAATCTTACACACGTCTTGAGAATAAAGCACTTTTATGAGGCAGATGTGAGTAACTGGCAGACATGAGTTGCCCAAAGTCACAATGAGTCAGTGATGGGCTGGAGAACCACACCGCCCCCCCCAGCAACCCTGACACCGAAAGCCTAGCCTGACTCATTTGATTACTGCCTCTCTGTATCAGTACAAAGAAACCACCTAGGTGCTTTAGGAAGGTGGCAGGTCGCAGATCTAGTTAAACCATAGGCATTGCCTAACTGCTCCTTTCTCAGAGAAAGCCAGCACCAGGGAAGACCCTCCCCTGGGAAATGTTTCAGGAGAACCTGCAAGAAGGCTTTGTCTGACTCAAAGATAACGCATGATGCTCGGAGAGGGATGTACCTTTGAAAAAAGTACATTTCATCTCACTGGCTTCCTCCCCTCCTTACCTTGTGCGAATTATTTGGTCCTACGCTGGTGGCTGCTTGTACCTGCGCCACAGCTGGTAACTGCTCTGCTGCTCTTTGGGAAGGAGGCGGGGGGAGGGGACGGCTGGTTCTGTGAGGACGCTGGAGGGTGGCAGCAGCAAAGTCCGTTGCACTGGGCTGTTCAGCCACATCCCAGTGGACTTCCCTGGTGCTGATGTCAGCTGTTGCTGGAGCCACTGTCATGTAAGCCAGGGTGGCTGTGCTGGTATTCTCTTCAGGGGACCCAGAGGGAATATAGATTTTGTCCCTAGGCAAACTAGAAGGTGTGGAAGACTTGTCTGCAAGTTGTGAGGGGTGATGGGGCTTTTCCACACTTGCACCAAGATAAGAAGGAGGCTGATCTCCACTGTAGAAATGAACTTGAGGTTGGTCCTGATCCGCAAAGGAGACAGTTAGCACAGTGGTCTTCCCAGCCTGGTCTTCAGGGAAAATGACGTGATCGTCACACTTAGACTCCGTTAGGGGAACTGCTGTGATTCTGGCCTTTTCTGGGTCCCCAGGTAAATAGGGGCGATGGGCCTGGAAGTCTGCCTGGTGGAGCTGCTCCCCAAGTTCCGCCGCACTGGGATGGGTGCGATCCCGGACAGCTGCGGTGTCTGGTACAAGCTGCTCCCAGGTCCCAGGTGCACTGTTCTGGAGGACGAACTGCTCTGTAGGCCTGTCGGTTGGGAAGCAGGCTTTGTCGAGAAGAACATGAGAGTGGGAACCAGGTAGTCTGTCCTCTGTGGCAGCGACCGCTAGGTCTCCATGGTCTGTGGGAGCAGCCTGGGAAGCCCCTGGTCTCTTCGAGGGCTGGGTGGAGGCTTGTTGTGCAGACTCCGCTAACGCCAGCGCCAGCAGGCGGGCGACATTTTTCGGAGGCGGCGGCGGCGGGATAAGAGAGACTGAACTGACAGGAATGGACTCCTGTGGGGGGTCATGGGGAACTGCTCCTGGTGGAAAATTAGGAAAGAAAACGAGAGTGAAAAGGTAGCTTGTGTTATCCTATACACGGAAAGCCAACACTCCCAGTTTGACCACTAAAAAATATAGGCGCCTTCCACATTTCAAAGCGGCAATCTGCGTTCTTCTGTCCCACATGCAAGGCTGGAGTAAACACATCTGGTTCAGAAGGAAAACTGAAAGGAAAAGGGTTTAAGGGTTGCGATCTCCTCTTGAATTGCTACGGAGATGGGGGATAAAAAAGGCGGGTCCCTCATCGGGCTCGGGAAAGACTGCTTAGGAAACAGGATTCAAGTGCTTGTGATGGTTTAGGATAGTTTTTACATCTGACGTGTAGGCTGGCTGGTGAACATGTTAGGCTAAAATATAGGTATTTTATTAGAAGAGAATACAGAATCAAGAGCTATGAAGTTGTGCAAAAAAAAAAAAAAAAATCCATGGATTCTGACTGTCCAGAGAGACAAGGGGACTTTATGGAGCTTGGAATCAGGAGCACTGGCCCCTTGGGGATTTTTGTTTGAGTTTAATTTAAGGCACTGAGCCATCGGCACCACCCAGACACACATTCTCTTTGATTAGAGGGTAGGTGTAGGGCCAGTTCCTCTCTTACAAGGCACAGATGGCGCACTGAACTGAAAGTCCCTCTTAGCCTAAAGAAAGAATGGAGGCGAGCGAACGGTACCTGTCTGAGCCTGTCCACAAGGCACAGCCTTACTCTGACCACCGGGGGCGGGCTGCTCCTCCTCTTCCGGCGATTCTGTTCTGGCAGCAGCCACCTGCTCCGGGGACCGGACTTCGGACTCGCGCCCCTCTTGGGCCTCTCTTTCACTTGTCTTCGTCTCTCCTACCTGGGCAGGGGGTCTACTTGTGGCAGCACCTGCATCCACACTTGTGCTCCAGGTTGGAGAGGACACAGTCGGGGCTGCAGTAACGGAGGCCATGCCAATTGCTTCTGACACCCGAGTGGGGAGAGTCACTGAGATGGGCTCAGAGATGTTCATGGAAGGAGACTTGCTTAACTTCCGTCCAATATTTGGAGAGAAAGCATAGACAACCTTTTCGGTGAATGAGGATGGCTTCGACGATTTCTCTTCACTTGGGCTCAAGTCCAGGGTGAAGAATGGGCTCAGTTTCTCCTGGAGAGGAGACACAGGTTCAGAACTTGCAGTGCTCCCTGGAGTCTGAGACTGGCTGCCACCTGCTTCCGTATCCTTTCTATTCGTACTCGGTTTCTCCTTGGAGTACCCCACGCAATCCAAAAAGGAAGCGCCGCTCTCCAGACATTCGGATTCGGCCTTCGGTGGACTGCACTGGAATGACATCGGGTCAAAATCCAGGCTGGCCACGCCGATGTCCGGTGGGCTCAAGTCAACGTCCTCGGCTGCATGCGGAGACACCAGGGCTGGGATGTGAAGCAGCCCCACGTCCTCCTCACTTCCGTTGTCGTGGGGCAGGTTGTCATAGGAATTGCAGCGGTTCCCCAGCATCTCTCCATTGAAGGAGGCACTCAGCGCATCACTGCTGGATCTGGGCCTTCTGGGTCGGAACAGCTTGGAATCACCTGGTAAAAGGGATGACACTAGCTGAGGACCAATGTCACAGGAACACAGTGTCACGAGTCGCCTCCTTAGTACATGTGGGGCGAGACAGTGCTACTTCTCATTTTCGTTCGGGTAGTTACCTCAGGGCATGTAGGTAAGCACCCAGCACGCACCTCTGACACAGCCAGCGCGAATGCAGTGGTGTGGTTTCCATAGGAAAGGGGCTCAGGGCTTTTGGGTTCTATTACTAGCCCCTCACTGACTCTTGCTGTGACTTGAGGCAAGTTTTTAATTTCTTTTTCTCTTATTTTTATCATGGACTTTACATATGCCTTGTGAGGCAGCATGAGTCACTTTAAAAGAGACGCTCAATATACAGCAGGAAGAGTGTTTTGTTTTGGTTTTGGTGGGGAAAAGTCCTTCTGATACCCAAATTAAAAAAAAAACAAAACCCAAAACTTCTCAATTAAAATATCCCTACAATCTCATAAGGAATTAACATATATTGTAAGGGATTTCTTTCAGACACTTGTTAAACAAGAATAATTTCATTTTTCCCCCTTAATAATAAGTGTCAAGTTTCTCAGGCAGAATCCAGAATCAGTCCTCAGAAGTGCTAGAGGACTTTTCAAATCACTAAACACCCACCTGGCAGAAGTCCGCTCTCTCAGCATTTGATTACAACTATTGGAACTGCCCTAGTAAAAATGTACCACAAAGAGGCAGAAATTGTCTACTAATGCATTGGCCACGTGTAAATTAACCCCCACTCAAACAGGGTTTTCTGCTCACCGCTACCCAGCCCACTGCATTGTCTTGTGAAGCATTCCTGTAACTAAAGTGACACGGGAAATCTTGGAACACCTGTAAGAGGTTAGGTACCCAACGAAAGTGACTTGCGAGGATGTCTCGATCACAGACACAGTCACGGCCAACGAGGACGTGGCAGTTAGAACAGTTAACAGCTGAGGATCAGAAAGCTGACCAGGATGACGCCATCCAAGACGCTTCAGAAGCGCATGATTCGAACATCAACAGACTGAACAAAGCCCTCGGGAAATAAGTGTAGCACTCGGTTATTTTTGTAAAAGGGGCCTTCTTTGTAATCCTGCTGCACAAGCCAACAATAAAGGATGTCCTACTTGCTATTATACAGTTTTGTCAAAAAAGTTTTATTTCCTTTCCAGTCAAAACTGAAGTAGTTGCTCGTTCATTCTAAAAATTAGTACAAAGTTGCAACAATAACCTGACTTTGCTAGGTAGAAGCTACAATTTATTTTCATGCTTTTAGTTTTGCTTTTCAAGTTACAATCAAGCTTTTTTGCATTATGTAGCATAAAATTCTGGACCCCATTTTAAGCAGATCCACCTCTCCTGGTGCCAACTGTGCTCAGAGAATGAGGACAGCCTATGATTGAGCTGATCTATGAGATTTAATGTTAGTTAGCCACTTTCAGGACAGAAGACTACTAGTCAGAATATCCAGACTGCATAATTTTATGCTTTGCAACACTGTATTCTCATAGTGAAATGTAAAGAAATACTAATAATACAACTTTTCACTAGGCATTAATAATTATAAATGGTTAACTTTAACTATTTCACCTCTTTTTATGCAAATTGATAGCATTTAGGACAAAAGCAAACAAAGAAAAGGCTGGTACCATATTTAACATTGGTGGACAGTACAAAACAGATACCAGTGTTCATAAGAAACAATGGTCTATAGCCTATTTATTAAGCATATATTTATAGAATATACTCGTTTTGTTTTTTATGAAATACAGAATAAAATGATTCATGCGTTTGATCTTACCATCGCCTGCATGCAGAGAAGTAAGAGACTCTTCACTTTTAGCTGAACGGAGGGTTCCTTCTGCCCTGCCACCTTAAGGATCAAAACCAAATAGTGTGAAGCTTTATTCATTGTTACAAATGTAGTGAAAGGGAGCAGCGTTTTTCTCTAGAAGCACTGAAACTCCCAACAGTGATCAGTTGTACACTGACAGTCACATTCAATTTAGCATCCTATCATATAACGTATTGTTCTCAAATGGTTGCCTCTGTGAAAAGTCTTTTTTCTAAAGGATTATGAATGTGAGAGAAAACACGAGTTTAAACACGTCTTCCTTTACATTTCCTGAAGACCAGTTTGATGCCACACTGGATTTAGGGTAGGCCCAGTAAATCCAGTGACTGGGGTGGCGATCCTTTAAGAAGAGCAGACGCAGAGAGACCGAGGAGGCTGCCTTGTGAAGATGCAGGCAGGGACCAGAGTGAGGTCACCACAAGCCAAAGGATGTGAAGTGACACCAGGAGCTGGAAAAGGCAAGAATTCGTTCCTGGATCCCTCAGTGGGACCATGGCCCTACCAACACCTTGATTTTGGACTTTCAGGCCTCCAGTACTTTAAGGAAATAACATTTTGTTATTTTAAGCCACCCAATTTGTGGCAATTTGTTACAGCAGCCCTAGGACATTATACAGGCACTACATACCTGTAGACTCTGATTTGTTTAACGTCCATAGCCTACTTCATTCAACTCTTGGCACACTCAGTGCGGCCCCCCCTCCATCACCTCAGGGGACAGCACTCATCTCTCTCGTTCTTCGCCTGCCTTTCTCCCCATTACTTCTCACTCTCCTTCCAGACGCTGCCTTTTTCACTTTTCTCCAGCATTTAGTCCCTAACCTGCTTCTCTCACTCAACAGGGCCTCCCGGGCAATAACATCTATCTGTAGAATTTCCACCCTCAGCAGTTTCTGATGACTTTCCAGTCTGTATGTCTAGTTTATTAAACACCTTCACTGAATCCCAGACCATACCACCAAACCTCTCCTGGGCATGTCAAATTCACTATGTCCAAAATAAACACAGTGATTTTCTTCCCTCTTATCATTTCCATCAAAACCTGAAAATTATCTTTGTTCCTCCTTTTTCTCACCCTTCACAACCACTCAGTCACCAAGCACCGTGGAGCCTGCTTCCTAAGTGTCTCTCATATCTGTTTCCCACTGCCACTGCCACTGCGCATCCGGACACTCGTTTCTTGCTTGTGTGACAGTGAAGGTCCCCTAACTTACTGTCCACTCTCCAGTCTTAATTCCCTTCACATAGATTCCTTACACTGCCGCTGAAGTCATCCTTCTTAAATCCAAACTTGGTCATGCTACATACCGAGGCCATTCAGTAACGCCCCAAGAAATGCAGGAGAAAACGAAAACTCTTTGGCAAACACTGACTCAAACCTCTTTTTGTACCTTGCTACTCAGCCAAGTTCTTTCCAGTTCCCCATACTCACACAGGCACATACTTTGCTCCCATTTCCTGAACAGGAATGCCTTTATTCTTTAAAACCCAAGTCAAAGCTGCTATTTTCTGACCACCAGCTCCTCTCCCCAAATGAGTCAGTAATTCCTACCAAAACTATCTTGCACAAACCTTTATTTCAATAGCTACACATGAAGTTTATTTTCTGACACATACAACTTCTCAGGCAGGACTGTGAAGGCAGGGCAGTGTTTCAATTTTCTATCTGCAGACATGCTCAGCACACGACTGCAAACTGAGTGGGTACGGATTCAGTGACCTGAGCGCATTTCTAACATGACCTGAGAGCAAAGCACGCTGCTATTTCCTAGGTTTAGAAGCTGTATCAGTAGAGCATTAAAGAGTAGTCTTTGCAACAACAGTAAAGATCTATTTGACTGTAAAAGAGACTTGCATCAGTCCTCTCCTAAAAAGGTAGTTTCTTTTGATTATAAAAATTATACACTTGAGCCCTGGCTGGTGTAGCTTAGTAGATTGAGCGCAGGCCTGTGAACCAAAGGATAGTAGTTCAGTTCCAAGTCAGGGCACATGCCTGGGTTGCAGGCCAGTTCCCAGCAGGGGATGCACGAGAGGCAACCATACACTGATATTTCTCTCCCTCTCTCCTTCCCTTCCCCTCTAAAGATAAATAAATAAAATCTAAACAAACAAAAAGTCTAAAATAAAGAAAAAAATTATATACTTGAAAAGTATGTCGAAACATGGTTTTATCATTTTTTGATATGTGTAACAATAGATTAACAAATTTAAATACCATAGCAGTTATTTTTAATTACCAACAATAAACTGTGCTACAAATATGTTGCACATTTTTAACCATTCACAAAATATGTAATCTATATAGTGTCCCTACAAAATTAGGTATTCTGCATATTTATACATAATTTATGTATCTGGGGATAAAGAGTCGGTAATGGAAGACGATTCACACGTGGCGACACAACTCTGGAACACCCCCCAGAAGCACACTGGGACAACACCCCAAGCCTACATCCAGAGTAAGAAAGAGCCGCCGCAGCGGAATGCAATGCGTGGCTGACCAGCGAGCCGCTCTCCCCGCAGCCGCACGGGACTGGTGGGAGGGCACTGACCTTTCAGGGCCATCGCTTTCATCTCGGAAGGCTCGCTCTCATTACGCTGCAACTTCCGTTTAGAAACAGATGACGATTTCCCCAGGTTGAAGAAGGAACGCCAGCTGCCCACAGGAGACTTTTTCATTTTATTTTGGGGCCTCCTCCTATGAGAGAGAAAATAATATGTGCTGAGATATCCAAGGGGCTGTCTTTACTTCCAGAAAATGAACAAATGATGAAAGAAACCAACGGCCAGAAGAGGCTGGTGCCCACATGGCACCCTCTACACAGTGCAGCTAAACTGAGCAGCTACAGCTAAACTGAGCAACTACAGCATGGAGTGGAGATTTAACTGTATGGATTTTCATGTTAGTGATTAGTTTCACAAAGCTAATTTTTACATAAATTGTCATATTTAGATCTAACCTCACAGTCTAGGAAATAAGTTAAGAGTAAGACATATGTGGCAATTGGACATATTAAAACTCCAAAAATAGAGTTAAAGAAATGGATTTTAGTTGTGAGTAAAGCAAAGTAAGCCAAAAATGAAGAAAAGTCTTAAGGATAGTAACTAACATATATTGAAGGCCCGGCGCTGTGCTAACTGCCTTGTTAACTGTGCCAACGTCTCCCTTAAATTCTATATGACGAGATGAGGTGGGTACCGTCATTCTCATTTTAAGGAAATTACAACACTAAAAATTTACTTAAGTTCCCCAATGTTATAAAACTAGTGAAGGATGGAGTCAGGGGTAGAAGCCAGGTCTATTTGTATTGCAGTACTACTCTCTTAATTACGACTCTATAAGGAGATTTTTGAGAAAATTAAGAAGCTAAAACATAAATTCAAGACACTGAAGACAAACCCAGGATGACAAAGTAAGCGTATGCTCTAGCTTTCGGCTGTCAGGGCATTTTTAGTCATGGGAAGTGAAAGGCAGTTAGAGAAATATACTAAGAAAATGGAAAGAATAAATTCTCAAGTGTTATTACTGCTACCCATCCACGAAATTGAAATCCCGACTTTCATGTGTAATAGCCAAAGGAGTGATGGAGATAACCAAAATTAATTTACATACATTAGTCTCCTTACTACACTTTAGTAAAAAAAAAAAAGAAATAAAACACACGCTGTTATCATTTCTTTAGAGAGAGAATTCAGAGCTGGAAGGGGCACAGGGAGAGTGAACGGCAGTGGTTCCCAGCCTTCAGTGCACCCCGGGGTCTCCCGGGAGGCGGGGCAGCGGACTCCGTGCTGGACCCTGTGGCCCCAGCCCCGAGTGTCTGACTCCATGGGTCTGGGTGGCGTCAGGGAATGAGCATTCCTGGTAACTTTTGGGTACTGCTGGTGCTGCTATCCGGGATTTCACTCTGTGAGAAGCACTGGTCTATTCTAAACGTAACAGAACCAATGTCAAGTCATTATTCCTTTGTTCCTTTCTGAATGTGTTCTCCCAACACAAATTATGTCTGAACGAATTTCAAAACAATGCATCTCAGAGAGAAAAATCACACCCTATACAGTAGAAGTGTATCATTTTTCCTAACAAATTTCCCTAAACACTAGGCTTGCTTCTTATTTAAAACGACGTGGTGTCACAGTGCTTTTCGAATCACTTGTATCATTCCTTATGATTTTCTGTCTGCCGTCAAAAGAACAGGTTTCCCTGGGACTGGCCCAGAGTCAATACAATAACACTAAAATACAAAAGTAAGGTAAAATAAAGAACACAGAGCCATGCAATCACATCTGTGAGGATTTAAGGCACTTTACCTTTCAAGTGGGAACTCAATGATGGTGTGAAATTTCCCCTGAAGCGCAGCAGGCCCTTCTCCTACTTCAATGTATTTATTTTCAGTAACAATGGGAGAATTGACCTGAGCCTGTGTTCTTGCCTGGGCTTCCTCCAACGTCAGCAGCTTGGTAGACGGCGAGGAAACCAGCAGGGACTTGGGTCTTGACAGAGAAGCTTTAGAAAGAAAGAAAAACAAAAAAGACAGTCACTTTTCTGCATGGGGGGAAAACATAAATATATGTGAGTGTGTGTATGTCTGTTTATCTGTCTATCCATCTATCTATCTTGTTAGGTAGATAGATGTTTTAACAGGCTGTTAAAACAGCCTGTCTTGTTTTAAATCTTCTTCACTAATATGTGTGAGTGTGTGTATGTCTGTTTATCTGTCTATCCATCTATCTACCTATCTTGTTAGGTAGATAGATGTTTTAATAGGCTGTTAAAACAGCCTGTCTTGTTTTAAATCTTCTTCACTAAGTTTTTTAAATGGCAAAGCAATCAGTCTTTATGAAAAGTGAGGAGTAGCAGGTGACATGCCAGGCTGTTAACAACGACACACACATATTTAGAATTCTCAAGTCACTGAATTCTTTTCCTTTCCTGAGGCCTTGCCTGGTATCACTCAGTTACTTTTGGTTCTGGAAGGACTTTTTCTGCTGCTGCTCCATATCATGCCTTTATATACACCACCGGGAAGTAACACGATGCATTTTGTAGCATGTCATAAACTTGGACTACAAACTGTCTTACGTGTAGTATTCACTGAGCACACACACAATAACTGTTAAATTGTGCACTTTGGAAAGTGGGCACTTTCTACCAAAGACAGGGTTATTGGACTGAGATAAGAAATGCAGTTTTCCATTCCTTGAGAAGCCTCGATGCGTGTTCCCCACAGTAAACAAAATCCGTGTGGGCCCCACCTGCCCCCTCCTGAATGGCCGCGCTGATTTTCCCACTGAAGAGGACATCGACGTGATTGAGGATGAACTCGACCACCACAGACTGAATCCTCACTTCCATGAAAGCTGCGGTGCCGCTGAAGCAGGCAGACTCAATCTGCTTTGATCTGGGCAGTAAACACAGTATTACCATCAGAGTCACAGATATAGCAGTCTTGAAGGGCTTTCTTTTTTAATTTTTTTTAACATGTCAGTCACAGAGAAACCAAAGGAAGAATGCATACTTTCACAGTGCCTCGGCTAAGTGCCAATGGCCTGTTTTGGGGAGATACTCAGAAAACAATAGATTAATTTTACATTTAAAAATTGTCCTTATAAAACACTGATGAGTTAGACTTTCACTTAAGATGACTGGCTCTATATAAGGTCATATGTCAAATGTGACTTACCTGAGCAGGTTGGGAGCCCAAACAATCGCTAGGTTTTTTGCATGCATATTTGTGATGGAACAGTAGTCAGCTAGAAGTGACAAGTGTCTCATCAGGAACTCCAGTGTTCTAGAAAACAAGATACAACATAACAACAAAGAGAAACCACTATGTGGCAGTGTGGAGCACAAAAGCTCCACTAACTGGTTTTCAATGGCAAAATGAAAAAGAATCATACAAACCCCAGCAAATTTTGGGTTGCTTATTGGGTTTGAATATTATTACTACGAACTAGCAGAAGAACATTTGCTCCTGACTGTCAGACATCTACTTTCTTTCTTTAAATATTTTATTTTTAGAGGGGAAAGGAGGGAGAAAGGGGGAGAAACATCAGTGTGTGCTTGCCTCTGACACAGCCCCCACTGGGGACCTGGCCTGCAACCCAGGCATGTGCCCTGACTGGGAATCGAACCAGTGACCCCTTGGTTCACAGGCCTGTGCTCAATCCACTGAACCACACCAGCCAGGGCAGACATCTACTTTCAAGATACCAGTGAAATGAATCCTCTACTCCAGTTTCCAGACAAATGATTTTGTGAAGTTATGTTATCCTACTTGCAACTGACATGCTAACAGGAAAGAATTTAAACTTTTCTTCTGTAAAAGAAAATAACAAATGTTTCATAAGCCTAAAAAGAGTTAAAAAGAAAAATTCCAATAAGCACCAAGAGAAGAATATTTGAGCAAATATATGCTTTTGGAAAATACAAAGGCTACTCTAAATCCTAATTATCCTGGTTTATTTTATACATTCTAAGTTTGCTTTATTTAAACAATTTGTACATATATAAGTTTCTATATTCCATATTCTCTATATAATAGATTACATGTAATACAACATACAATATATAGATATATATTACAGATAATGAAATATTATATATAATCTATAGATATGCCTAATATAATCTACAGCTGTATACTGGTACATTTGGTATATAATATAACGTATAGATATACATTATATAGACAGATATCTATATGTATATAGAAAGGGGGAGGTGTAGATAGACATAAAATAACATCAGGTATGTTTGGGAATAAAGCATAGTCAGCTTCAATGTAAGTTAAAGCCCATAAACACATGTAGGTATTACCTACCAGCTACCACACCTCTCAAAGTGTGTTCCTACCTAAGTGTATAGGAATTAAAACTAGTAAAGACAGTGAATGGGAGATGGAAGTTTAAGACTATAATTTGAAACAGTAATGAAAGTTTATTTTTGGTAAACATGAGCCTCAAACATTCAGATGAGCCGAACATGAATTTAAAGAAGAAAAGGAAGATGACAGCAAGAGGCACGTGAGTCTCATCTGATTTCACGAGAGCCCCACCTAGCACAATGTACCATTCCTCATTCGTTGGGGAATAACCCCAGGTTTGCCCAGATCACACAGACAAGCAGTGCTGGGGTTCAGTCAGGCTCGGCTTCTCCCCAAAGCCTTTGTCATTCAACAGAACCTACAGAAGCTGCTGTATGGTAAAAAGCATAATTCTCTGTCCTTCTTGTGCACAAGTAGAGACAGCCAGCCAGCCAGAGAGAGGCTGGCCTGAGGACAGCACGGAGGTGAGATGCTTGAGAAGTGTGTACAGAAAACAATGTAAAAATCCGCTATTTGGAGGGGGGCGCTAGGTGAAGGAAGGAAAAGATTAAAGTACTTCAGAAATGTATTTTACAAGAAATGCAAAGTAGAGCAACCAAAGAGACAATTTTATTTACATATATAATTATAATGATGTTTTTAAGAGCTAATGGAGTCAGCATCTCATAAATGAACATTTTCATATTTAGCAGTGTAAATTGCATAAACCTTCGTGGAATACAATCTGGAAATTGCTGTATGTTGAGAAGAAAATTTAGCTGTCTTCTGGTTTCTAAGAATTCCACTGTTGGGTCTTTATCCTAAAACAATAATCTAGGTTCCCAAGGAGGGTCATGTAAATGGGTGGTGCTTCAAGTCACGTTTAAAACTGGAGAGGAAAGCCCCATTGTAGAGATTAAACTAGGCAAACTGGGGGAAACATGAGATGATGTGTGGCCCATCTTCATTAGAGAACACTGAAAAGTCATGTTTTCCAAAAGCATTTAAGGAACTAGGAATTGTGAATGTTAAAATCTTTAAAGAATCTGGATCAGAAACGAGATATAAAGTAGGAGGTACACAGATTATTTAAAAGCAGCTAGAATATAAAAACACATTACATAGCAGGAGATATGTAACAAGGACATACATGGAGCATAGAGTAGGAGACGTGTACGTAGTAATATATACACAGGAAACAGGTGGGCATAACTGGTAGGCAATACACAGGGTCCAGCAGAAGGAAGGCCTGCTTCAGTGTGGTTGGTAGGGTAATAACAAGGGTGTAATAATGCATAGTTTTAATTTGAACATTTCACCTAAAATGTCATATGCTGTTTATGCTTATAACTTTGCAATAAAAGGTTTTGTAATAATAAGGAGCATTATTTGTGCCGGACCCTATTAGGAGATAAAAATACTAGGATATACACACACATCTATCAGCAAGCTATAAAATAGTGTTGAAATATACAAAATGTATATGCAATATATATTATTGAACACTTACTACGTATAAAATTCCATTCTGAGAACAGAGTGGTAAACAAGGTAGAGTGCACGGCCCCAAGGAGTGTGTGTAGTCTAAAATCCGTGTAGTGGGACATATGTACAGTACAGCAGAAAAGAGCACGCAGTGTTCAACAGAAAAGATAAAATAGCAAGGGAGCTGTAGATATAATTAGTAGGGGAAATGCCTACATATTTTGAGAAATACCTACATATAATAAAGGAGACTATATACTGTAACAGGGAAATATAATTACAGCAGAGTAGAATAACATAGAAGAATATATATATATCTCAATGTAGTAGATGTACATGAGATATTCACTTATGTTTGTATACGTATGTGTATATAGATGAAACACAATGAAGCAAATACACAGGCATACATAGCAGATAATAACAGTGATAGTAATGGTAACTAATTAGTATAAATACCACTCATTTAACATGCCTCGTTCTAAGTGCCTTTCCTTTAATAGTCATGATGATCCTGTGGGAAAAGCACTATTATCTTTATTTTATAAACAAGGAAACTGATCCCAGAGACAAAAGAATTTGCTCAAGGTCTCAAGCTCACACAGCTTTAAGGGCAGTTTGGTTGCAAAGTGTATGATGTCTACAATGTATAGATATTATATATAGTAGATGATATAAAATGTACTGCTAAGGAGGGAATAAATACATGAGATACAAATAAACATGTGGTGGGAGATTTATTTATATAAAATATACAGGAGATGTATATACTTCACCATGAGTGAAATATATATGTGTGTGTATATATACATACATGCATAATATATATGTACACATATTCTCTATATTATATGTATATACATATATACTTTATATATGTGGTAGATCCTCTTATGTTCTCTTAACTCACCCACAAGTTTAACCAAAATTCTTTTTTAAAAAATATTTTATTGATTATACCATTACAGTTGTCCCATTTCCCCCTCTTCAGTCCCCTCTACCCTGCACACCCCCCCTTTAGTTTATGTCCATATGTCACAAGTTCTTTATATTCTATATTTCCCATACTATCCCTGCCCTCCCCCCTGTCTATGCTACTTTTTCTCTGTGCCTTCTCCCCTCTTCTCCTCCTCCCACTCCCATTGCTAACCCTCCATGTGATCTCCATTTCTATGGTTCTGCTCCTGATCTAGCTGTCCTCTTAGTTTGCTTTTGTTTTAGGTGTGGTTGTTAATAACTGTGAGTTTGCTGTCCTTTCACTGTTCATCTTTTTTTATCTTCTTTTTTCTTAGATAAGTCCCTTTAACATTTCATATAAGGGCTGGGTGATGATGAACTCCTTGAATTTGACCTTATCTGAGAAGCACTTTATGTGCCCTTTCATTCTAAATGAAAACTTTGCTGGATAGAGCAGTCTTGGATGTAGGTCTTTGGATTTCATGACTTGGAATACCTCTTTCCAGCCCCTTCTTGCCTGCCTGTAAGGTTTCTTTTGAGAAATCAGCTGACAGTCTGATGGGAACCCTCTTTTGTAGGTGACTGTCCCCTTAGCTCTTGCTGCTTCTAGGATTCTCTCCTTCATTTTAATCTTGGCTAATGTAATGATGATGTGCTTTGGTGTGTTCCTTCTTGGGTCCAGCTTCTTTGGGACTCTGAGCTTCCTGGACTTCCCGGAAGTCTATTTCCTTTGCCAGATTGGGAAAGTTCTCCTTTATTATTTGTTCAAATAAGTTTCCCACATGTTGCTGTTCTTCTTCCCCTTCTGGTACCCCTATAATTTGGATGTTGGAAAGTTTAAAGATGTCCTGGAGGTTCGTAAGCCTCTCCTCATTTCTTTGAATTTTTGTTTCTTCATTCTTTTCTGTTTGGTCATTTTTTTCTTCCTTCTGGTCCACTCCATTGATTTGAGTCCCAGTTTCCTTTCCATCAATATTGGTTTCCTGTGCATTTCCCTTCATTTCACTTAGTGTAGCCTGCATTTGTTCCTCTAATTTGTGACTAAAATCAACCAGTTCTGTGAGCATCCTGATCACCAGTGTTTTGAACTGTGCATCTGATAGGTTGGCTATCTCTTGGTCAACTTAGAAGTATTGGCTCTGGGGCTTTGAGCTCTTCTTCTTGAGCCATAATGTTTTGGTCTGTTTGTGTCTGTTACGTGTGAGGGGCGGAGCCTTAGGTCTTCACCAGGGCGGGGTGACCCAGTTGCTGGGTTGTGATGCTGTATGTGGGGGCGGGGTCAGAGAGGGAGCAATGGCGCCTGTTCAGATCTCTCTCGGATTTCAGTCCCCTCTGCTGCTTCCCCGAAAGCAAATTGGGCCCTTCTGGTGCTGGTTCCCGGGTGTGGGGGCTTGTGCACCCTCCAGGATCCTGTGGGTCTCTCCAATGAACTCTCTGTGAGCCTGGGAGCCTCTCCCGACACCTTGACCCCCAAAAGTTTTTCCAATTAGTGCTTTTAGGCTTTAATTCCCAGCGCTGGGGCCCTGGTTTGCACAGTCTGTCTC